CCAAAAAGCCACCAAAATGCCTAAAAAGGACACAAAATGCTTAAAAAGCCTCCCAAAATTCAAAAAGCCGCAAAAGGCCGCAAAAGGTTCCGGAAGGCCCCCAAGAGGCCCCACCCAAAAGACCCCCTTTTGGGGGGGGAGAGGCAGGTGGGGGGGGGAAGGGTGGGGGGGTAGGGGGGGGGGGGCGAGGCGGGGGGAGGGGGGTGGGGGGGGGTGGTGCTTGTTCTGACAACCCAAACACCTCCGGCCCGAGGCTTCGGCGGATAGAAATTGTATAGGGTTTGTGTCCGGAGTTTTGTCGAGTTTTGGGGGGTTTTGTTTTTTGTTGTAATGGTTTGGGTTTTGTCGGGCGTGGTGGGGGGCGGATGGTTTTGGGGTGCTGAGGGGCTGGGGTTGAAGGGTTGCGGCTGAGGGGTTGGGTTTAGTTTTTTGTTGTAATGGTTTGGGTTTTGTCGGGTGCGGCGGGGGGTGGGTGGTTTTGGGGGGCTGGGGTTGGGGGTCTGTGGTTGAGGGAGTTTAACACAAGCCCTGTCCTCCCCCAAACGAAGAATTCAAGTAAATTGATCCAAGCCCCCACCAGACCAATTTAAATTGACCCAAGCTCCCCCAGAGGGGAAAAAGTCCCAAAAGGCCCACCAAAATGCTACCAAATGCCCCAAAGGGCTCCCGGCAAGGAACCGGGAAGCCCCAAAAAGGTGTGAGCCCCGGGAGGCCCCACAGGCCCAAAAGGCACCAAAAATAGAAATCTTCACAATTTGCACTGAATTTGTATTGACAATCCAGGAAATCCATGGAAATCTATAGAAATCTACTCAGTTTGTACTGAAAATCCAGGAAAATCCAGGTAATCTATAGAAATCTATTCAATTTCAGGATATTGTAACTCGATGTTACTGTGTCAAGGGCTTTCACTCTATGTTTTTTGTCCAGTACTCCGCACGGAAAAACCCTTCGCTGTGCTTTCGGGAAAACCTCACGCGCCTTGAGGATGTGTAAGGCCTTCCCTTACTTAGGCGCCCTAAGTAAGGGAGCTATTGCATGTGCTTTTTTGCAGATGCACACCATCCCTTCAGGATCATGGAGCTACCTGCGTTTTCAGCAGCACTTCTCGTCACCCCTTTAGCGTGCGCTGCTGGCACGTGCAGGAGTTGACTCGGACGTCATCCCTTTGGGATCAACGAGCGCTGCGCACAGCAAAAATGGGCAAAATGATTGTGACCACTTTACAATTGCTTCGACGACAGAAGCTGCCACGGGGATGTGACAGCCGCAGGGAAGCGACCAAGAGCGCAAAGCCGAATTACACGCTGCACATCTTGGTCATCCTTGCTCAGCTGCAGTTGCTGCTCCAGGAACTTCACCATCTCCACCAAAGGGGTCCTGCATCATCGGAACCTAAACCCTCGCCCCGAAACACAAAAGACACGACAAAACAGCAATGTCCTGGTCACGACCCCCTCGAAGGTGACTGTGTGGGGCTGGAAAAGCAACCGCTGTCCCAGTCGGCCAGCTTCCGCGCTAAGCCAGACTTCTTCGGCGGGGACCCAGACCCGTGGAACAATGTCGTGCTTGGATATAAAATCCTTCCACGGAGCCTTGCTGTCCACGTCCAAAGGCAATGGGTCGCGGGACAACATGCTTGAGAGGTGTTCCGAAGCTCGTGGAGTCTTTGCAACGACTCCCCTTTCTTGAGATGCTTCGCAGCCACCTGCATGACCTCAGAGGCTTCCCATTTTTTAGGACAGTCAGTGGCCGCGTGCTCCAAATGGCACATGTCGAAGGCCAAGTCCATTACCCCATGGCGGACTCTCTCTGAATCACCTCAGTATCGAGTCTCCCACCTCTGCAGCTTTGCTGACGCAAGAGGCACCAGAGCACGCCCCGTGGACTTTGGGACATGGCACCAAATACGCACTGAAACTTGGGGGCGTGCGGTTGAAGTCTATGCACAAACAGTTCCTGGACAAACCGCGACTCCCTTTCGAAGGCGACAGTGTGACGGGAGCTGCGGCCAGCGATCCCTGGAACTCCTTGAAATCCGGACAGTGTCATGTTTTCGCTGGCGAGCGGTGGTTGGAAGGGTGGTTTGTGGTCTAGCGCTTCCCAGTGATGCTTCCTTCAGATGTACGATTGTGGGAAGCAAAAGCACCACCGCCGCAGGCCCGCAATTTTCCCCGGAACACAATCATTTGCAACCGCGAGGAAGACACGGTGACCAAGGCTTCTGGTGGTGACACGGATGGGGATGGCCTTTGCTTGACGAACGACCCGCGTATGGTCGATTTGGTCAGAACAACTCCTGATGGGCATGAACGAGTGGAAGCGTCCATAGCCCGCGTGAAGGAGCAGCTTACGCCCCAGGCATCCTCGACTCTCGTGCGCGAGGAGGACTACATCAAGTACATCTCCCAGGTGTCTTGCGCAGGGCCTGGCTCCCGGCTTTCCTCGGCGCCGTCGCGCCAGACGTCCGTGGAGAGGTCGGACATCTGCGCGGTGAGTCGGTGCTGGGTGCTCTCTTCGTCCTTTTGCCGGTTCTCCTGCTCGTCGTCGCCGGCCTCTGCCTCGTTGCTTCCCTTGATGCACGTGGCGATGGCCTTCTCCAGATCTTCCGGTTCCAGGCCCTGCAGCTGGTCCTCCGCGAAGTCGTTGTCGCTGTTGTTTGCCAGGTCGTCTTCCAGCTGGTACTGGGGGGTAGGCAGTAGACGAAGGCGTAGTTCGTGGCGTAGCGCTCGCCGTGCCGCGCGATTCGCGCGCTGAGGGCCTCACGCCAGCTGCTCATGTGACGTGGCCGGAGGTCGCCGATGTAAGGCACCTCGTCCGTGGCGTCCTCGACGTTGCTGGTCCAGGGCCAGAAGAGCAGCAGGAGCTTCTCGGCATTCTCCTCGGGCACCGAAGAGCACGGGCACGTGGGGTCTTTGCGAGCCGCGACGACCCAGTCGCGCCGGTGCCTCTGCGCCGGGCCTCCCGTGCCGAGCGGCATCCAGTCCTCCCCGCCGCATTCCTTGACGCTGTAGTCCTCGCCGGGATGGAAGTGTTTCTGCGACACTTCCGCCTCGTGAGCAGGGCGCGGTAGTCTTTGTCCTCAGCGTTGTCTTGGGCCTCGCGCGTCCAGGGATAGTGCCGAGCGAACTCGTAGATGGACAAGGCTTTTGCGTTTGGGGACATCGGCCTCGGTGCCCGTACACGGTCCAAGTCTGCGGAGTGTGGATGCTCTTCTTTCTCCAGGTCCTGCTGTCTGTGCTGATTTCCTCATGATCGATCGGCAGGGGCTCTCCTGCCGCATGGAGCCCGTAGCTCAGCGCGAGCTTGGTGACCGGGGCGGTTTTGACGGCCTCGGCGGCGGTGGGGTCGTCGTGGTCCGCGTGGTCCACGAGGTTGGCGCACTCCACGGCGCCCCTGCAGACGCCGTGGCAGAAGTACTCGGTGATCATGCGCTCGCCCGCGTGGTTGTCGCGGAGTTCCGAGGCCAGGGTCTGCTGGCGCTTCTGCCACTCCTTGATCTCGTGGGTGGCGATGGGCAGGTGCATGTTCTGGTAGTCGCAGCTGTAGCCCGCCTGCAGCTGGGCCTGGCGGATTACCTCCTTGAGCTCCAGGTCGTTGACGCAGTTGTCGCTCTCGCAGCGCCGGCTCTCATGGAGCTCTTCCGTGATGGGGAAGCGGTGGGCACCTGCACGTCGCCGTTGCATCGGAGGCTGCCGTTCAGGTTGGGGTCGTTGCAGGGCCCCCACAGCCCCAGCGCGCTGCGCTTGCCCTTGACGGGCATGTCCATCTTCTTGGCCAGGCCCTTGCAGACCAGCAGCGTCTCGTCGGCGAGGCGCTGCTCCCTGGGAAACCCGGCCTTGCAGAGCTTGGGATCGTTCTTGTCCTGGCAGTGGGCCAAAGGCAGCCGCGGCCCGCTCGGCGTCTTCGGAAGGTGCACGTGGTGCTGCTTCATCTGCTGTAGCCGCTCCACGTCCTCTTCCAGGTACCGTTTGCGCCAGGCCTCGGCGTCCATCTGGTCTTCGTCGGCGCCTTGGCACGCGGGGCGGCTTAAGGCCAGAGCGGAGCCGCGAAACTCGGGCCACTCGTCCTCCGTCTCCTGCTGTCGAGCTCGCCAGGCCTCGGGGTCGCTGTACTCGGTCCGGGAGACGTGGGCGACGTAGGCGCGGTACTTCTTCAGCAGCTCTATGTTTCCGCTCCGCGCCGAGCTTCTGCAGCTCGGCCAGGGGCGTGAACTGGTGAAAGCGCTGGACGAAGAGCTGCGCCAGGCGCGGGCTATGTGCGTGTTAGTGTGTGTTTTCCGCGCGGGTGACTGTTGACGTGACTTAACTGCATGGTTCGGTTTCGCTCGTATGCTTCTTTTTCTCCGCGCACGGGGGATGCAACGCGGTCCGGCCTGGAAGTGCACGTGCAGGGCGCCGCTCTTCTGGCACTCGATGGACCCGTACACCGCGTCCACGCGCCCGAAGATGCCGCCGCAGCATGGCGTTGCTCCCGAAGGCGTCGGTGCAGGGGTTCTTCGAGCTGGCGCAGTCCGGGCACTGCGGGCAGCAGCGGACGCCGAAGAGGCGGCGCATGGCCAGCTGCACGAGCACGCGGAAGCCGTCGGCGCACGCCAGCGGGTCCTTGGCCAGCATGGCGCGCCGCTCGTCGTAGGCCGGGAGCTCCGCCAGGAGCGCCTCCGGGTCCAGCGCGTGGTACTCCACGTCCAGCTCGGGCTTGGCACGGCCCTGGAACTCGCGGCCGCTTCCGTCGTTTTGGAGGGCCGGGTCCGACTGTCGGGCTCGGGCCAGCCGGAGCATGAGCGCGTTGTCCCTTTCGGAAGGGGAGAACGTGACGAAGAGCGAGGTGCCGTAGCAGATCCTGTTGCGTCTGGAGCCGCATGGTCTTGCGCACCTCGCGCATGCCCGGGATGTTGCGGCAGCGGGCCTCGCAGTTGTCCAGCACCTGCATGCGTACGCTCGCTCGATGGCGCTCGTGGGTCGTCGTGGGTTGCTGGCCTGCTTTTTTTGACATGGGCTCTATATATAGCCTTGCTTTTGGTCGTTTTTTGGGTTCGGGCGGGTGGCCTTTCTGGCTGCTGCCGACAGCCTCGGCACGTATCGGACCTTGGAAAGGTCTCCCTTCACGGCCCTGTGCTGGTTGTTGACGTCCAGGTACTTGCCGTTGTGGAGGGCCTTCTGGATCTCCTGCAGCCCTTCCATGATCTCCAGGTTCGACAGGCTGCGGTGCCCGCTGCCGTCTTCGTTGGGCTCGGTGTGCATTGCTGCAGGTTGACCATGGTCCGAAAGAGGTAGTTCCAGAGCGTGAAGCCGAAGGTCCAGTCCCGTCGGAACTGGGTCTCGGCGCGGCGCTGCATAGCACTGGCCCACGCGTGCACCTCCACGGGGGGGCCTTGGGGCATCGTTCCGCTCGTCGCTCCTCTTCTGCACGTCTGGGCAGGCGGTGGCGTGCTTGAAGCAGAAGCAGAAGGCCGTGGCGAAGTAGAGGCCTGGAACCCTTCTGGGACCTGCCCCTCCTGGACCTGGTGCTGCCTGCCTGGGAGTTTCGCTGGGGGCCCCCATGTGGGCACCCTGCGAACCCCCCTTTCTTTGGGGGGGGTATTGAAGGGTGGCTTCAAACTTTGAAGCGTTCTTCATGGTGGGAATTGAGGGCGGCAGCTCTAAACCCGAAAAGGCAGTGGTTTGGGTGGTGGCCTGTGAAGGCTCTTCATCGTGGGAAATCAGGGCGGCAGCCGTAAACTCTAAAAGGCAGTGGTTTAGGTAGTGGCCTGTGAAAGCTCACCAGCGGGAGAAAAAGAAGACTAGCACCAATGAAAGTTGTTGGACTGCATTGGAAACCTGTGCCTTCGTGTGACATGCCCCCCACCCCACCCAACACAGGGTGTTTACTGCCGCTACGCTGCGAGACCCCTGAACCCTAAACCCTAAACCCTAAACCCTAAACCCTAAACCCTAAACCCTAAACCCTAAACCCTAAACCCTAAACCCCCTAAATTGATTGCAACAGCTCTGTGCAGCACCTGAGGGCGACGCATTCCGGGCCTGTCATCGCCTGGTCCTTCAGCGACGAGTGAGGTGTAGAAGGGCTTAAGGGGTCTAGGGTTTAGGGTTTAGGGTTTTAGGGTTTTAGGGTTTTAGGGTTTTAGGGGTTTAGGGGTTTAGGGGTTTAGGGGTTAGGGTTTTAAAGTTTCAAGGTTTTAGGGTTTTTGGGTTTTAGGGGTTTAGGGTTTTAGGATTTTAGGGGTTTAGGGTTTTCGGGTTTTAGGGTTTTAGGGTTTTTAGGGGTTTAGGGTTTTAGGGGTTTTAGGGTTTTAGGGTTTAGGGCTAAGGCGTGGAGCCCTTGACGTCACCCAACCTAAAAACACATGCCCTCGCCCTCTCCGTGCTATCATAGCCCCTAAACCGTAAACCCTAAACCCTAAACCCTTCACTAAGCCCTGCCCGCACCCCCAAGCACTTCTCATGCAGCAACTGGGACTGCTGCTGGGGCCGCCCTTGGCAGCCATGTACCTCAGGCTTACTTGGAGGTTCATGGTACTTATTAACAGCTTATTAACGGGTTTCGGGTTTCGGGTTCAGGGTTTAGGGTTAGGGTTTAGGGGTACTTGTTTTAACTGGAGTGAGTGAAGAAATACAATCGTTTCATGTCTGTGGCCGTTTGAAGTCATGCAAATATGGGCCACTAGTTTGACAACTCGTGAACGTAACGAATAAGAGAACGGAGAAAGCGCCATACATACATATATATATATAGGGCCCGAATTCCCGAATCCTCACGAAGAACCAGGGGGTCTTCGGACAACTGAATCATCTCCCCCAAGCCGAAACCCAACATCACGAGCTTGGGCAGAGAGGGCTGGAGAGAGCTGTGCTCGGAACACACTCAGCCCTAAACCCTAAACCCTAAACCCTAAACCCTAAACCCTAAACCCTAAACCCCAAACCCTAAACCCTAAACCCTAAACCCTAACCCACAAATTACACGAGCTAGAGCAGCTTTGAGCGGTCATGATCTGGGAACCACCCACCCCCCCTAGGGTTTAGGGTTTAGGGTTTATGGCTAAAAGCCCGATACAAAGCCTAAACCCTACTGCAAGGCCTAGACGTCAGGGTCAGAGGAAGATGCGTCAGGAACCCCGGAGCTCATTTCATCTTTTTGGTCTTCTCGTCGCCGTAGCAGCAACATATGCGGTGACCACAGATGCAACTCGAGATATGTACGAACACCACCAGCTACCTGGGGACTAATATAGGGGCCTGAATAATTTCAATAGGGCGTTGGGGGGATTATGCCATAATTACAAACGGACCATAAGGGATCCGACCCCTACATTACGTAGTTGCATCCGTTAGCATATGCGCGACATACGCGATCTAACCCCGGACTTTGGCCCAATGGCGAGCTTTGTCTGTCAGGGCACAGACATCTGATTCTCAAGTTCTGCGCCTGACATGCCCAAGCTAAAAACTACAGGGCCTTGGCGGCTTTCTTCTGAAAGCAAGACGAGGGTGGAGGTTCAGTGCCCGAAGCCCTAAGCCTTAACAGTCCTTAAACCACAACGGCCACTTTTCTCAGGCACAAATCCTCAGCATGCAAATGCACAGTCGCATCGACAGGTCAGCACTATAAGAAGCCCAAAGTCTACGAAGACAGATGCCACTGCGCTTGTCCAACGGAAAGGAGCATTGCCTTTCCGCGAGGCAAACAAAGCCGGAAGAACTCTTGAAGAAAGCAAATGATACTGGTTTAGAGATTGGATCCCACATTCCGATAAACCCGCACTAGGCTTGCAGATGTTTGCTGCTTCCAGAGATTGCACAGGCTGTTAGGCACTGGCACGCGGCACTTGTGGGATTGAGAGCCCATGCTTCTTGCTGTGGCATGCTCGGCAGTCACCCCCCCCCCCCCCCCAAAAAAAAAAAAATCGCCACTCGATTTTTCCTCACTTCACTTGGGGCCGACCATGCACCGAGCCTAATCGCCCGTCCAGCGCTACTCAAAGGGAAATCCCCTCAGAGCAGCTGAAAGACAGCGTGGTGAGACATCGACGGCCACGACTCCACCCTCTGCCCAGCACTCTCGAGAGTTGTGGGCCTGTACATCCTGTACTGGAAGAAGTCGATGGCGGTCTGGCCCAGAAGGGGCTCACGAAGGTTGTCGTTGTTGCCTTGAAGCCATAGAGGAGGCGAGGGCGCCACAGGATGCGGCCCGGTCGCCATGGCCGTGGCTTCAGCTTCAGTGCGAAGGGAAGTCCCCTGCCTCGAGGTGTGCTGGATCAATGCTTCGAAAGCGGCCCCACTCTTTCTGGCCTGCTGCACGCCAGCCCAGAAACGGGAGGGTAGTAATGGCGGGGGGGGTTGCAATCCCGGAGCTGCCGGCAATCCCGGAGGTGCCGGCAATCCGGGAGGTGCCGGCAGAGTCGCATGAGAGGTCGAACGGGAAGGCTGCGCTTGTCCGACATCATTCCGCGAGGATCTGTTCCCATCTCGACGTACTGCTCCTGAACGTGACAGAGCCAACTTTTGCTTCCATTCCCTCCTTCTCTTTTGACGACCTGACTCGTGAAAAAGATGGCAGTAGCTGCAGTCGCGGTCTAAATGACACCCACGGTGTGAGAAGCAGTAGAAACTGCAGGGCGTGCAGGTACCAGGATGCCCGCTGCTGCCCGCAGATTCTGCTGCTCCGTCTTTCTTCTGAGTTGGTGCAGGACGAGTACTCACATCCTGTGCCTGGTCACTTTGAGAAGCCGAGCTGCTCTCCTCTGACTCGTTCAAGCTCGCAGTGGTTGATCGTTCTGCGGCGGCCATAGCACCTTCCTTCACCCTGCAACAGCTATTTGCTGTGACAACCGTCGGTTTGAACCCGATCCTGAAGGTGATATTTCCAGATATCGCTTTCAAGGCTTTCAATGTGCAGGGCAAGGAACTACAGTAGCAAGAAGCGTGAAAAAGGCCGGGCTATATGACTCGAAATGGTTCTTTAAAATAGGAAGGTTTCGGCCCTAACCCCTAAACCCGGAAACCCATAGACCTGAACCTCAAACCCCTTAGACCGTAGTCGAGGGTATGGCTGTGTGAACTTAGAACAGAAACCTCGAAATCAAGGATTCACCTCCAGGATGATCCACAGAAGCTGGTAACTGCAAAAAAGCAAACCTAAACCCTAAACCGTAAACCCTAAGCCCTAAACCCTAAGCCCTGCTACGCGCAAGCAAAAGGTGCCGGTCCTGAGCGCTAAGCTTCCTGGACTCTTCGGGCGCCCGACTTGAACACAGCTTCCTCGACATTCCAGCTGTGCCGCTCGAGCCAATCCTCGGGAAGCTTCGGGACCCTGTGGGAGTGATAGGGTTAGGGTGTAGGGTTTAGGGCTTGGGGCTTAGGGCTTTAGGGCTTAGGGCTTGGGGCTTGGGGCTTAGGGCTTAGGGCTTAGGGCTTAGGGCTTAGGGCTTAGGGCTTAGGGCTTAGGGCTTAGGGCTTAGGGCTTAGGGCTTAGGGCTTGGGTTTTGAGTTGAGGGTGCAGGGTTTAGGGTTGAGGGTGTAGGGGACAATAAGGGATCTTGTAGCCAAGGCCTGGCCGACTCTGTCAAGTTCACCGTCTGTTGTAAGGTGTGGGCGTTGGTTGTGGTGCATGATTTGAGGGGTTTTGGGGGCAGTAGCATGAGCTAAATTCGACATAAAAACAACCTTGGCTCCATTTGTCTCCGGAGGACCTCTCAAACCTCAAATGGTTTGGGGCTTAGGCCTTGAAGTAGCGTTAGACCCTATAAGCCTTAAACTTAAACCCCAAGAGCCCCCAGCAGCAAGCGCGGAAAGAACAAGAGTCCTGCGCAGTCAACCTGCTCTCGTTGGTCATATTCATGAAGAGCTGCACCTGCGAGCTCTTCTCTAAGCTACAGTGCGGCCTCACAAAAGTTAATCCCCTCTACCCCTAATAATTACATCTCCCCTATACAGGAACAGCAGTAGAATGTGACCATTCAAGAGGAGGGGGGGTGGGGGGGGGTTCGTATTAGGGGGAGGGGATTCAAGCCTGACCACTGAGCACTGAACCTTTCATAAGCAGTGTCATGCCTGTCAGACTCTAACCTCTAACTTGCGACACTAACCTGGATTCATGGGCTGAGGGCTGCAGGCTGTGGGTGCGTTGAGGGTGTTGGGGGTTTAGGGTTTAGGGTTTAGGGCTTAGGGCTTAGGGCTTAGGGCTTAGGGCTTAGGGTTTACGGCTTCGGTGCGTCGTTGGGGCCCTCACCGCGGTCGGTGATTGATGAGTCCAAACGGCTTTAGCTTACTGTTGGTAAGGAGGGAATGAAGGAATAAGGTACCTATGTACTCCCTTGAAGGGTATATATATGGGGAGAAATGGTACCTTATTCCTTCCTTCCCTCCCACCCAACAGTTATTCGTTGGGGTTTGGAGGTTCGGGTTGGGATGTTCCCCTTTTTCTAACAGTCCCTAGTAGGGATTATCGGACCCCCTAGTAGAATCCCTATTAAGGACTGTTCGTATAGGGGGAACATCCCCAGGTTCGGGTTTCAAAATTGAAGAGTTGTTCTAGGTTGGGGTTTAAGGGTTTCTGGCTTTGCATTCAGGATTTGAGGATCACGAGTTCGTGCGTTACGTTGGGGTTGATGACTGTGTGTCGGCCCCGAGCCGGAATATGTAAACCGCGGGCTTCAACATCCCCTCTCCTTTTCGTCTAGGTAGAGCTTAATTAGGGCACTGAACCCCCTACAGAAGGGTGGCTGCATGTAAACCCCCTGAATTGGGGTTTAGGGTTTAGGGTTTCGGGTTTAGGGTGGCCCCTGAACCCGCAACCCCAAAATTCTGCACACCCCGCGCACCATCGCCGCGACGTCGGCCTCAGATTGGGGCAGGCGTCCTCGGTCAGTCACGGCTGGGCGTAGTCACATGCCATGAAATGCAGCATTTTTTGGGGGGGGGGGGGGGGGGGGGGGGGGGGCGGCGCCAACCCCCCCCCCCCCCATTTGCGAGGCTTAGAACTGGGTCCTCAAACAAGCAGGGGAGCTGGGGACAGCCCCCTCAATTGCACACATCATGCTCGCATGATTGAAGCAAGCGTTGCACGGCTTGTTCTAAGCCCCCACTCCATATGCAAACACAAAACATCCCAAAGGATGCTTTGGACGGCCTAGAACTAGGTCCGAAAACTAGCGGGGGGGGTCCCTAGCGTTTGGGGTTTGGGGTAACTTACTAACCAGTTTATAAGTGTACTTATAACCCACTTATAAGCCCCGTAAGTGCCCCAATGGGGATATAAGTACCGTTATGATAAGAATCGTTATCATTGGTTAGTAAGTGCCCTGAACGTCCAAGTAAGCCCTACACCCTAAACCCTTTTGACCCTAAACCCTCAACCCTAAACCCTAAACCCTATGAACACTTGGTTGATAGAGCCTCTGAAGCCCCATCCTCATTTAGGCCACGGCCGGCAACGGGCGAGCTGGGGCTGGAGTGCGGACCTTATCTTTTCTGTTCAGGGTTTAGGGTTTAGGGTTTAGGGTTTAGGGTTTAGGGTTTAGGGTTTAGGGTTTAGGGTTCAGGGTTCAGGGTTCAGGGTTCAGGGATCAGGGACCTGGCTTTGGGCTTCAAGCCCCCCGGCTTGAGGGTTTGGTAGGGTTTGAAGGGGTTTGGGGGAGATGGGGGGTAGTTAAGTGGCCTGCGGGGTATAGGGTTTAGGGTTTAGGGTTTAGGGTTTAGGGTTCGGGGGGTCGGGTTGACAGTTATGGGAATGATACGATATATGGGTGTTTCCGAAGATAGGGGTACCCTTTCAGACCCCAAAAAACACAATACAAGCCCCTTAAAGGGACCTCCCAAAAAGGGGTATCCCTAATCCTAAACCCTAAACCCTAAACGCTAAACCCTAAGCCCTAAACCCTAAACCTCTCTCCTACTTTCAAAAAAAAAACATGTTGGGCACACATGGCGAGGTTGTTTTCGCATACCTGGTGGCCGCGCGGATGCTTGCTTCAAGACCACCTCCACATCTTTGGTTTTCGGGTCTAATGTTGGACCTGCTTTATTAGGGGAGGTCGCTTTAAAGTCAATTTGGCCGAATTATTCAGGACCCCCTGACTGTTTGAGGGTCCGCTTTAAAGTCGAACCGTCCGGGCGCCGTAAGAAAATTCCACGTGGCGCGCCTTTAAAAAAAAGATAACCGGGCATTGCTGCCCCTTTTAAACATATCTAAACTCCACCCTATTAAAATCATATAAGCCCCCGGGGCCGTGTAATCAGGACCCAATCCACGCCCCGACTGTTCAGGGGGGGGGGGGGGCCCAACATTAAAGCAGGTCCCACATTAGGGCCTAGGATTTAGGGTTTCGGGTTTAGGGTTTAGGGTTCCGGGTTTAGGGCTTCGGGGAAAAGAAGCGCGTAACAAAACAAAAAAATAGTTACATCCACTGGCACGCCACGGAAAGCCACGATCTATGTACCTGTGGCCCGGGCTCTCTTCCGGATGCTTCCGCCGCCACGGTCGTCGCGCCTGTTAGGGTGTAGGGTTGATGTTTAGGCGCATTGGAGGAAAGCCGGGTTTAGGGTTTAGGTTTTAGGGTTCCATGTTGGACTCGCTTTAGTGCGTAGGGGCCCCCCCCCCCCCCCCCCAAACAATTTTGGGGTTTTCGGGGATCCTTAATAATGTGGGATGGGGCTGGGACGGGGCTGGGGGTAGGGCGGCTAGGGGTCGAGGGTTGAGGGGAAGCCTTGAAGCTTGAGGGTCTAAGCTTTCCAGGCTTTGTAGCTCCACGGTCGCCGGGGTTCCGCATTAATGCGGACCACCGAAACAACTTGCTAAAGCGAATCAGGGCAGCTCGTGGGCTACTCCCTTGGAAAATTGTTTGGGGGCCTGTTTCGTAATGACATTTTACAAGGAATTTAAATAAGGCTGGACACCAAAAAAATCCAGAGTCTCTTATTCAAAACTTTTTTTTATTTTTGGCTCCCCGGCCCCCCGCCCTTCAACCCCAGCCGGGACAACATCGCATAATTGTGAACCACCCTAAACAATGGGGGGTTCTGTATAAGCGGATCGGAAAATCGCATAATAGTGGTCCCATCCACTAAAGCCAGTCCAACATTAGGGGTGGGAGGATTCATCGCAACTTGGTACCCTTTGACGGCAGGAGGATGTTACACGAATATATAACATTTAGGATGGGGTGGGGGGAAGTGGGGGTTTAGGGTTTAGGGTTTAGCCCGACTGGGGTGGTTTTGCATCGTATTTCGTTGCTGGTATCCTCGCTCCCACCCACCTCCAGCCCCCCTCTCGCCCCCAAACAAAAAGACCCCAAAAGCGCAGTTCAGGGCATTGTGCAGGTACCGAAAAATGGCGACGAACAATGGGCCGATTCTGCCACAGGCCTTGTCAAAGGGTCCCGCAAAACGCAACCGAAAATCGTGCGCAAAACGCGTGCTCGTAGCACGAGGGTATACGGATTAGGAATTTAGGATTGCACTGCTCTGGGAGTTTAAGATAGCACAGCTTTGGATTGAACCACTCCCCGCCTGGTCCCGACAACCTACCCCAGCAAATGTGCCAACAAACAAAGAAACGACTGGACATGCTGAGAATGTGTCGAATGCCCCACGCATGCAGATGTTGTCGGACGACCCTGACTTGCCAGAGCGCGATTCTCAGCCCAAAAACCACCTGCGCAACCCTTTGGGGGGTTTAGGGTTTACGGTAGGGTTTTCTCTCTTTTTTTCTTTTTTTTTGTTGGGGGGGGGGGGGGGGGGGGCAACCCTTGAAGACCTAAGGCCTTGCAACCTTAACGACCCTTTCAGACCAAACATTGCAAACTCTGAAACCCTCAAACCCCAAAACCCCTTCACCTCGCCAGGCCCTCTTTCCCCAAAAATCTGACCTCAACCCCTAACATCCTAGCAGACCTAAAAGCCCAAAGTTCTGACAGACAAAAACCAAAAACCGCACACCCTAAACCCCGAAACCCTAAACCCTAAACCCCAAACCCTAAACCCTAAACCCCAAACCCCAAACCCTAAACCCTAAACCCCAAACCCTAAACCCTAAACCCCATTTGGGGAGCTACAGCCCGCGTTGGGGGCCACCCGATCGAAGGGCGACTTGAAAGCGCTGGCGCCGCCGCCCTGGCAACAACACTGCCATTTAGGGTTTAGGGTTTAGGGTTTAGGGTTTAGGGTTTAGGGTTTAGGGCTTAGGGTTTCGGGTTTAGGGTTGAGGGTCTAGAGCTTAGGGGTTCAGGGTTTTGGGTGTAGAGTCTAGGGTTTAGGATTGAGGGCTTCTTCCCCTTCCGTAGCAGCTAGCGACAGCTAGAGTCCCCAATCCATGAACGTCTGAATTTCATAGGATGACTTAGCTGCCATCCAGCTGACTCAGCTAGTAGGGTTTAGGGTTTAGGGTTTAGGGCTTAGGGTTTCGGGTTTAGGGTTGAGGGTCTAGAGCTTAGGGGTTCAGGGTTTTGGGTGTAGAGTCTAGGGTTTAGGATTGAGGGCTTCTTCCCCTTCCGTAGCAGCTAGCGACAGCTAGAGTCCCCAATCCATGAACGTCTGAATTTCATAGGATGACTTAGCTGCCATCCAGCTGACTCAGCTAGTAGGGTTTAGGGTTTAGGGTTTAGGGTTTAGGGTTTAGGGCTTAGGGCTTAGGGTTTCGGGTTTAGGGTTGAGGGTCTAGAGCTTAGGGGTTCAGGGTTTTGGGTGTAGAGTCTAGGGTTTAGGATTGAGGGCTTCTTCCCCTTCCGTAGCAGCTAGCGACAGCTAGAGTCCCCAATCCATGAACGTCTGAATTTCATAGGATGACTTAGCTGCCATCCAGCTGACTCAGCTAGCAGGGTTTAGGGTTTAGGGTTTAGGGTTTAGGGTTTAGGGTTTGGGGTTTGGGGTTTGGGGTTTGGGGTTTGGGGTTTGGGGTTTAGGGTTCAGAGTTTAGGGTTTTAGGGTTCAGAGTTTAGGGCTCCCCGGCTGAGATACAACCAAGGGCTTCTTTCTCAGGCTGGTTGGGGCCGTTTTGGGCTTTTTTGGGATCAGAATGGAGGGGTTCTCTGACTTGGGCTTCTGAAGTGAAAGGGTTTTGGGGTTGGGGCAGCATTATGTGTTTGCATGGCCCTAAACCCTAAACCCTAAACCCTAAACGCTAAACCCCTGAGCTTGCGTCGGCATCTAAACCCCATTATGGATTCAATTCATTCCGGCAGTCCCCTTCGATCAATCCTTCCTGACTTTCAACATGGGTTAGTCAAAATGAGGGCTCCTCTCTCTTTGGGGGGATTCGTATCATAAGGGTGCTTACAATGCATGGGACCCAAAATTGGGAATCTCGTTTAGAGAGCTACCCAGATACGCACGAAGCAAAAAAGCAGCAAGCTTCCGGGATGCGCTGCGGCACGGCCTGTTTCACATCGGCCCCGGGCGCACCGACAGACGTCATCTTCTGCTGGAGCTTCTGAGCCTTATCCTTCTCCTGGTCTTCAGGGATTGGAGGGGGTTTAGGGGGCTTAAGGCTTGAAGACTGGAGGTTGAGGGGTTTAGGGGGTTTAGGGTTTAGGGTTTAGGGTTTAGGGCTCAGATTGAAGCTTCATGGTCTCCACAGCACGATGTGGCTCGCTCTTTGCGGTTTCGGGTCTACCGCGGCTCAGTCCACTCACTCCGAAACGGAGGATTCATTGACATGTTCCCCCTTAGAGTCCTAATAGAGATTTAAGGTACCCCCTATTATAAGCCCATTAAGGACTGCCACTATATGGGGGATCGCAGCATCGGAATCTTCAGCCACCAAGCCTGCGAATCCCCCATGCCCAAGAACACCCAAGACTCCGCTGACTCCAACACCCGAAACCTCTGAGCAACCAAACTTTGGGGGGAGCTACATGGTCCCTTACCTTGGAGGTTCATGGTGCTTAATAACCAATGATAACTGTACTTATAACTGTACGTAGAACCATAATTAGGGCACTTGAAAGGCTTATGCGTAGGTCATGAGTACAGTTAAAATTGCATGGTTAGTAAGTATCATGAACCTCCAAGTGGTAGGGTCCCTTACCTTCTTTGAAGAGCTCTGAAGTATGGGCCCTTGGGTGTTAAAGGAGTATAAGGGGGCGACACAGAAACAACACACCTCCCCGCTTTCGCTACATGTCCTCAACTCTAATATGGCCGCCCATGGCCGCTTTATCATTTTTGTTTGGGGGTTCCTAAGCCTTAGACCCTAAGCCCCAAAAGCCCTCGACCCTAGCCCTAAACCCTAAACCCTAAACCCTAAACCCTAAACCCTAAACCCTAAACCCTAAACCCTAAACCCTAAACCCTAAACCTTCAACCGATTTATTTTAGAAGGGCGGCCCGACGCCTCCTGCAAGTACTCTTCGTCCGTCAGCATCTCGAGGATGGAGGCCGCCTGGCGCCGCTGTTTAGGGTTTAGGGTTTAGGGTTTAGGGTTCAGGGTTTAGGGTTTAGGGTTAGGGTTTAGGGTTTAGGGTTTAGGGTTTAGGGTTTAGGGTTTAGGGTTTAGGGTTTAGGGTTTAGGGTTTAGGGTTTAGGGTTTAGGGTTTAGGGTTTAGGGTTTAGGGTTTAGGGCTTAGGGCTTAGGGCTTAGGGTTTAGGGTTTAGGGTTTAGTCGATCCAGCGGTGCAGGGTGTAGATTTTAGGGTTATGTACCTGAAACTTGATAGGGCTAGGATGGAGGAATCATTGTTCTCAGGGCTTGGGGTTCAACATTTCTAGCCGGGTTGGGGTTTCTACGATTGGTTTAGGTAACTGTAGTTCACTGCTCTCAACATCGCTACTCAAACCTTCATGCTCCGGAAGAACTGTCCCCTAAACCCTAAACCCCAAATCCCAAACCCCAAACCCTAAACCCCAAACCCTAACCACCCTCACAGCCTTCGAGCGGATTCCCGCCCCGACATCCTTGCCCTCCTCCATAAAGCGGAACTCTTTCCACTGCCTGGGCGCTTGCTGGCTGGAAGGCTTGAGTGTAGGGTTCAGGTTTCAGGGTTCAGGCTTCAGGCTTCAGGGTTCAGGGTTTAGGGGTTAGGGGTCAGGGCTTAGGGTGTAGGGACAAACCCCAACCTCAAACCATCAAAACCTCTAAACAGACATTCGTGGAACCCTAAGCCCTACCCCTCAAATTCGCACAAACCTAAACCCTACACCCCCCGCAACCTCCAAACCGTCATCCCCAAAAAATCGAGCCTAAACCTGAGATTCCAATCCAGCAAGTAGGCTTTAGGCTTGAAGCCAAGCGCGGCACTGAATTCTCCACTGGTCTCTTCGAATGTCCTGCGGTGCAGTCAGACAAGGGGGTTTAAATGGGGATTTACGAAAATAAGGGACCCTTCATATTGACCCCCGCATTCCTTTATAATGAGGACCCCCAATAAGGTACCCCTAAATTCGGAAACCCTGGCAACTACCCCCACATCCCTAAAACCGTACTTTCAGAGGCCCGGACGCCGGAGTTTGCTGTGCGCGGTTTGGGGCTGCGGGCTTCTTACGGCCCAACTTTGCCCGAAGCCCTAAACCCAAACCCTGCCTTCTGGGAATGCACCGAGACCGACTGAAAAAACAGTGAAAAGCACCCCACCCTAAACCCTAAAACCCTGATTACACTCTTGAAAACCCACAGCACCATCTCGGTCGCAGCCTGGATTGCCCGCTCGCTGCCATACTTGAGGATGACCTGGCAGTTTGCGCGGCGTTGACTCAAAAACTCGATTGAGCTGGGAACCCAAAACTTCCTCTCTCCCCCATCTCTCTTCACACTTCGTCGTGCAAGCGCCTCGATCAAAGCCAGCGTTTTCACAATGCGCCGCCACTCCTTGTCCTTCTTCTCCTGGCCGAGGGAGGCCATGAGGCACGCTCGAGCCCTTCGCTTTGGGTTTTTGGTGTTTTTTTTTTATGACAACGCCGATCTGGATTCACTTTACTGTTTCAGGGCTTGTCTCGACTCAAAAGTCATTAAAACAAAGCACACAAAGACCACTGCTGCAGCGACTCAGCGACGCAGCGCCCGACATCACTGATGCAAGATACCCAGGTCTTGTGGGGTCTCTGTTGGGATGTTCCCCTGGTACTAAGAGTCCTTAGTAGGGATAGTTGGTACCCCCTATTAGAATACCCCCCATTGGAATCCCGATGAAGGACTGCTAGTACAAGGGGGAACGCAGGCCGGGTATCCTGAAGGATCTTCCAAATAAAGCCCATGACCATGTCACAGTCTTCCTCAGCAAACGTATAGGGTATAGGGTATAGGGTATAGGGTTTAGGGTTTAGGGTACAGTCTTCCTCAGCAAGCGGCTCCGCTGGACATCTGGGGCTTTACGAAAACAGGGGATCCCTAATTTAGATCCCCGGACAGTAGGATCCAATAAGATACCCGAATTTCGGAAACCACCATGTGTGTTTCGGAGAGAACAACAACAGTGTTTGCAAATTTCTGTCACTTCACAAGCTCCACTTTTACTGCTGCCCATGTGCAAGAATCGTGTGCCTTGCGCATTGTGGGCTCATGGCTCGACAGCAGCAGGCTGCCCAAAACTTACGGTTGGTTAGTAGGGAATGAGGGAATGAGGTCCCCTGTACATCCCCCGATGTGTACCCTTTAAGGGATTATATGGGGTACCTTATTCCCTCATGCCCTACTAACCAGCAGTAAGAAAAACTCAGCCCGGCGCCATGTTGTTGGTGGCCGTTGCTATGGCCTGGCACACATTCTCGGACAAGCCAGGAAACGGGAAAGTGTACTGTAGGAGCCTCAATAACTAGAATAGGGTTTGGGGGTTAGTATAGTTATATTACAAAGGACCATGAGGAAACATGAGTCATTATTCCGACCGGCTAAACCCTACACCCCAAACCCTAAACCCACCCTCAACCCTAAACCCTAACCCTAAACCCTAACCTCTGTATAAGATCCCATTGTTTCCCAGACAGCATGGGACCACCAGGGTAGATCCCATTTTCCCGGATAGCATGATGCCATGATGCCGAACCACTGCTACGGAGACCCTAAACCTAAACCCTAAACCCTAAACCTTAAACCCTAAGCCTGCAGCGTCGTGTTGGGTACGCCCCACTTCTCTCGCGACGTTGCCTGACCGAGACACTGCAATCACCCCTACTATAGGGGCCTGAATAATTACAATAGGGCTTTGGGGGTTATGGTCGTATATTTACAAAGGGACGAGAAGGGAAATCGATTAGCAACTATTCCGACCCCTACAGTACGTGAACGCACTGGCAGCACAAAGCTTGGGATGACTCCCTTCGGCCGAAAGACCCACATGTCCTGAAGTCAAAGACCGACCCTTCGGTGTGGGGTTGTTAGATTTTAAACTCAACTCTTCTCCTCGCCCGAAACTCTTCTCCTCGCCGTCTACTCCTAGAGACTCCCCGGAGTGCCCAACCCTAGAGACTCCCTGGAGTGCCCAACCCAAGACACTTTCCCTGGAGTGCCCAACCACAGAGACCCTGGAGTGCAAAGGTGGGGATGTTCGAACTAAAACAGTGTGCTGGTTTAGGGTTTAGGTTTTAGGGTTTAGGGTTTAGGGTTTAGGGTTTAGGGTTTAGGGTTTAGGGTTTAGGGTTTGGGGTGTAGGTTTTGGTTGTTCAGGGAAACAAGTCCCAAAAAACAAACACAGGGGAGCACCTCCTTCAGCTGGCCCTCCAGAGGAGACTCTTTCCTCCTGGCAGGCTTTTGAGGGTTTAGGGTTTGGGGTTTGGGGTTTGGGGGTTTAGGGTTTAGGGTTTGGGAGGGTTTGGGATTTAGGGTCGAGTCTAGGGGTGGCTCAAGCTTCTGTCTCCCGGCTTCTGGCTGCTAGTTACCAAGAGTTGCGTACTCGAACTGTACAGCTTGTACAGTTCATGTCGTGGTCCGAAGAGTGATGCAGGGGTGTGCTAGGCGCCCCCCCTGTGCCTAAACCCCAAACCCTAAACCCGAAACCCCAAACCCCAAACGGCAAGTCAGCCCGCCTCATGCTTCCCAAGCCCTCCTTCATTCGGCCGAACATGGTCGCACCTGGACGGGGAGCTGACAAAATGCCTGGTTTCGGTATGACACGCTACGTCTGCCATGTGGAGAGAGTCTGCTGCATGACGCCCATCTTCGGGTTTTTGGAACCCAGGGTCATGACACTTTTAAAGGGGCTGTCGAACGGGCACGTGTGATGTGGGTCGCCAGTGTAAAGCTTGGGTCCAGGCTGACAAAGTACATACGTTTTAAGTTAGTGCAACTCCAGGCAGCCTCAGACCGCCACGCCAGCAGGCTGCAGCACTAGAGGCGTGGCAAATGGCTTCAGCCCTGCGACACGTAAAGGTGCCCGATGTGTAGGCGTTGGGTGTTGTGGGTCTGCGGGCATGTTGCGTCATGCTGCTGTTGCGTGCTGTTTTGAACTGCGCTTGCTCAGTCTGGTTTGCCATACTTTGTGGGATACCCTGGGCATACCGCCGACCGTAAACGTGGTGCCCTCATGATCCCCTCGGCTTTGTGTTTGAAAAGCATCCTTTGAGTTGAAATCGGCGGTATCGGAGTCTTGTATCAACGTACGCGCTACCTATACCCCCTCACCTCCCCAAGCCATCGCGGCGAACCCTCTTTGCAGTAGGGAGTGCGGCCACTAGGGGCGATGCTTGGGTTGCGGCTACAGGTCTGGCGCCCCCTAGACCCTAAACCCTAAACCCTAAACCCTAAGCCTCGAACTGATGCTGCGTTTCGCTTCTGCCAAGTCTTGGCACCCTCGACGCAAGCGAGACTGCGGACCGACCAGGTGCCTCTGTGCCCGCCCAAACGCCCGCAAACCCAGTGGTTTAGGGTTTAGGGTTTAGGGTTTAGGGTTTAGGGTTTAGGGTTTAGGGTTTAGGGTTTAGGGTTTAGGGTTTAGGGTTTAGGGTTTAGGGTTTAGGGGTTAGGGGTTAGGGGTTAGGGTTTAGGGTTTAGGGCTTAGGGTTTAGGGTTTAGGGTTTAGGGTTTAGGGTTTAGGGTTAGGGTTGAGGGTTTGACTCAGTTTGCAGCTAAACGAACAGAGAAAAATGGCAGTTTTGCTTTTTGGGCTCCGAGGGTGCTGGACTTTCCACTCTGTGCCATGCAAACACAACACCCAACACTACTAATTGCTTAAGAAACCCGAAAAAGTAAAAGACTCTTCCTTATTAAGGTTAATATAGGGAGTATTAGTTTTTATTCTTTTGGTGTTCTTAAGCAAATAGTGGAACACCAGTCAGGGGCAAGCAGGAAGTCACCACTAGGTACACTACTTGGGATGTCCCCCTTTTCCTAACAGTCCTTCATAGGGATTCTACTAGGGGGTGCTATAATCCCCATGAAGGACTGTTGAAGGACTGTTAGTATAGGGGGGGGCATCCCAACACACTACAGCCGAGCTTCAAAAATCATGCTGTGCCGACGCTGAGGCTTCTTTTCGTCGCAGCACAAGTGCTTGGAGGCTCATGGTACTTAATAACCCAAATCATAGCTGTAGCTGCACTTATAACCCAATTTTGACTGTAGATTAGGGCTCTTAAAGGGTTGTAAATTATAAGTACCATGAACCTCCAAGTGTGCGGGCTGTGAGATGTTGGCTGCAGGGCTGGAGCCCGGGGCTGGAAGCACTTCGGGAAATCGCATCGAGAAATTGGGCCCTTCGCAGAGCCTCGGTTGTTGTCTCTCTTCAAGCTCCACGTCAACTTTGGCAAAGGTCTTTCTTGGCCTTGCGTCTGCCACGTAGAACCCAAAGACTCCAAAACCCCTTAATTAAGGAATATACCTCAAATCATATTAGTGTTCCTATGATAATTTAAGGTATATTCCTTAACAAAGGGGTTTTGGGAGTCTCTGGGAAGACTGATGAGCTTTCTGCCTCTTGTGGTCATCTTCCTGCATCTTCCAGCGTGGCCCGCACTTCCAAGCGCATTCCTTGCCGCGGAGCGCTGCTCAGCGGCAACGATGTCAACCAGCACTGGCAAAATACATCGCGTTCGCAACCAGTGGGTTTAGGGTTTAGGGTTTAGGGTTTAGGGTTTAGGGTTTAGGGTTTAGGGTTTAAGTGCTCTTTCGGCGTTAGCAACAAAAGGCCCAGTCGGGAAGGCCAGAACTTGCAATACGGGCCATTGAACCTCAGACTGAGAAAGAGACGCCATTCTCGCAGCTGTGGCAGTGCACGATCAGGTCCCGGATCAGGGCGTGGTCCACCTCCTTGACGTCAGCTTCGGGAAACTCTATGTCCTCTTCGTACGGTAGGGTCTGCAAAATGCCCCCACACTTGACCTTAGGTCCACATCGGCCATCGGGTCCCCCACGTCAAAAACCCCCCACGTGTAAGGGGATGTGGCTAGACCCGCCTTTGAACCCGGGACAGTGTGAGGAAGTTGGTGGTGCCCCTTTAGGGTTTAGGGTTTAGGGTTTAGGGTTTAGGGTTTAGGGTTTAGGGTTTAGGGTTTAGGGTTTAGGGTTTAGGGTTTAGGGTTTAGGGTTTAGGTTTAGGGTTTAGGGTTTAGGGTTTAGGGTTTAGGGTTTAGGGTTTAGGGTTTAGGGTTTAGGTTTAGGTTTAGGGTTTTTAGGGTTTAGGGTTTAGGGGGTTTAGGTTTAGGGTTTAGGGTTTAGGGTTTAGGTTTAGGGTTTAGGGTTTAGGGTTTAGGGTTTAGGGTTTAGGGTTTAGGGTTTAGGGTTTAGGGTTTAGGGTTTAGGGTTTAGGGTTTAGGGTTTAGGGTTTAGGGTTTAGGGTTTAGGGTTTAGGGTTTAGGGTTTAGGGTTTAGGGTTTAGGGTTTAGGGTTTAGGGTTTAGGGTTCCAAAAAGTACGCGTTTGGCTGAAACCCTTCAGGGATTCACTTAACATTAAGTCGTTTCCCATAAAGAATCATCAAATCGATTCGGTTCAGAGACATGCTTTCAAGTTTTTGCACAGACCCTGTTGAAGGTTTAGGCTGCAACCTAATCCAAAACCTTGCATGTTCCCTTGCCGCTAAAGCATTTCTCTGAACCGAATCGATTGAGACTATGAGATTAAAACAACACTTTACCTGGACAAAAAACCTTTCCAAAGGCCGCTGGGCTAAATCTCCTGGGTATTTTGTCAGAATGTATCCCTTTCTCAACGCTTCTGGTAACCAGGGTGCTCTCGGTTTTCCTGCCCTTCGGTTTTCCAATCTTGTGTTCAATGTGTACAGATCAAATGCCATGCTGCGCGGGGCCATCAGCCTTAGTTCTAAGCCTCTGACCTAGTCGTTTGCCGTTCCTGTATCTCCTAGTCATTTTCCAACATCTGCGATTGGTTTGTTCGCATGCCCAATTTCAGAGTAAGCAAATTCCTTGCTTGCAATGTGGGGATGTCTGAAGTAAAACAGTATTTAGATAACGAAAAGAAGCGAGAAGAAGCGTGTAGATCTCACCAAGCGTTCTCCATCGTTTTTGGAGAAAACACGATGGACAAAATCTGATGCCATCCGTGCCTGAGTTTTTTGGGATAACGAATAAGCAGCACGTAGATTGCACCTTGCTGTGTCCATCGTTTTTGGAGAAAACACGATAGACAAAATCTGGTGCCATCCACGCGCCTGGCCTGGTTGCATGATGACGCAAAGCAGCATGTAGATCGCACCAAGTTTTGTCCATCGCTGTTTCTGGAGCAAACACGATGGACAAAATCTGGTGCCATCTATGCGCCTGGTTTTTGATCATGAAGAGCCTCGCGTAGATCGAGCCAAACTGTGCGATGGACACAATCTGTTGCGATCCACGCGAAGGGCTTTTCCTAGACAAGGCCTTGTCCATTGCCCTTTCGGAGAGCAAGACAACAAAAGACAAAACCTGGTGCGGTCTACGCGCCTGGTTCTTGCTCTAAAGTTCAACCCAGGGAGGGCCGGGAGTCTCTAGCCCCAAATTACACGTTTAGGGTTTAGGGTTTAGGGTTTAGGGTTTAGGGTTTAGGGTTTAGGGTTTGGGGTTCGGGGTTTGGGGTTTGGGGTTTAGGGTAAGATTTTAGGGCGGGGCATCGACAGAAGCAAGATATTTGCCCGCAAAGGGCTGCGGGCACGAATCTGGTGGCGTGATCTACGCGCCTGGCTTTTTGTGGATAATTACAAAAAGCCTTTCGCTTTTGAGGTTTAGGGCACGCAAGTCTTTACAAAAACCCTTCGCTGTTGAGGTTGAGGCCACGCTAGGATTCACAAAAACCTTACACAGATCTTTTAAGAGTTCATTGGGGCTAGAATCTAGAGGTTCGGGGGCGTCCGGAACTTTCAAGAAAATAGTTCGAAGGACATTAAGCGGTTTCAGTGTTTTTAGATGCTTCAAAACCCCTTGAAATATAAACAATGGTTGGGGGGGGGAGGCCTGGAGCCTTGGTTTTCGGAGAAACCACAAACCACCACAAACCATTTAAAATTGGTAAGACCCATAACGTCCTTAAACGAAGAACGATTTTTGTGTTAAAGGATGTTAAGCATTTCAGTCGATTTTAACATGCGTAACACCCTTGAAAACCACAATCGGCTTGGGGCCTGAAGTTTCGGATTTTGGAGAAACCACAAACCAGTCAGAATTGATCAAATCCATATTTAACAAAATCGTAACAAAATGTTTTTCAGGATTGTAAGCATTTCAGTCGACTTTAAAGTGCTTGCTGCAACCCTCAGTGTAGCTTTTTGGGGACCCTACATTTCCACGGCTCAGTGCTACCCGGCTGCTACCCAGCTGCCAAGGATCACAGTGCGCAGAAGCCGCGAACCGATGCCGCGACGCCTTGGTCCACTTGAGACTCGAGGGTTTGCTCGATAGGGATGAGGGTGCAACAGCGACGATGGTCCGAAACAGCTGGACCTCATGCGGGCTCTCAAATTGAATGGGCATGCGTTCGACAGCACATGTTTCGATTGCTGAGCCTGGTTTTTCAGCATACCGGTTTTGGTATTTGCACCCTTCACGTTGTCAAGCGCTACTGCGCTAGTGCGAAAGTCTGTCGCCATCTGTTCTTGCTTTCCAAAGATGTGAAATGCAAAAAGTGTGTTCACGATTGTTCATGTCTTCAGTTCTTGGCATCATTGCAAGCCCATGCGACAAGGATCATGCCATCGTCGGCCGGCCGACAACGAAGCGCTCGTGTCTGCCGACTTGTTCAGGACACAGCTCTTAGGAAAATATTGCTTGGAACCTGGTCCCTCTAGGTGGGGACAATATCGAATTAAGGAATTTCATCTCTTCTACATAAAAGCGCGTCAGCCCTCGCTACTGTCCCCACCACCGCTAGCATTGTCGACCCAGGAGGCAGTTGCGCAGCCATCATCGTCATCGCTCTGGCCACTACTGCAACCATGGCTCCAGGTCACAACAGACCCGTCAATGCGGATCGCAGCAAAAGTCGAGCAGAAAGCTTGGATCTTCTGCACGCCTTTCAACTCATATTGGACACAGCTGCTGCTGCTGGCTCCCCAGGTCACAACAGTCCCATCACCCAAAATAGCAGCGAACGCATATGTGGATGCTTGGATCTGCTGCACACCCTTCAGCTGACTTTGGACGGCAAGGCTATCACCGCCACAGTTAGCATCGCCCCAGGTCACAACAGACCCATCGGCCAGAATGGCAGCGAAAGCGCCGCTGGTAGCTTGGATCCGCTGTACGTTCTTGAGCTGGTCTTCCACACCACTGCAGTCGCCGCCATTGCCTTCATCACCCCAGGTCACGACGGACCCATCGCCCAGAACGGCAGCAAATGCGAAATCGGTAGCTTGGATCTGCTGCACATCCTTCAGCTGATGTTGTGCATCACTGCTGTCGCCGCCAAGGCCACAACGGCCCCAGGTCACAACAGACCCATCGCCCCGAATGGCAGCAAAAGACACCAAAGTTGCTTGGATCTGCCGCACCTCTTTGAGCTCATGTTGGACAACTACACTGTCCCCACCACGGGCTGCATTGCCCCAGGTCACAACGGACCCGTCGCGCAGAATGGCAGCAAAAGCCGACATGGTTGCTTGGATCTGCTGCACACCCTTGAGCTCATTTTGGACAGCACTGCTGTCACCACCATTGTCAGTGTCACCCCAGGTCACAACAGACCCATCACCGAGAATGGCAGCAAAAGCTGTGTTGTGGGCTTGGATCTGCTGCACGTTCTTCAACTGGTCTTGCACAGCACTGCGTCTCCACCATGGTCAGTGGAACCCCACGTGACCACAGACCCATCGCCCAGAATGGCAGCAAATGCTTCTTCGGATGCCTGGATCTGCTTCACGTCCATCAGCTGATGTTGCACATCACTGCTGTCGCCGCCAGAGTCAGCAGCTCCCGTGGTCACAACAGACCCATCGTCCAGTACAAAAGCACTAGCCCACCCAGATGCCCTGATCTGACACACATCCTTTAGGAGTAGCTGCTGCTCGAGAGCACAGCAGTCCCCCCCCCCCATTCACCGAGGATCGCAGCAAAAGCAGCAATGTTGGTGCGAACAGGGCTGCTGAGCTGTAAGGCGACCGCAGCGCCACTTTGCAACCCAGACTCCTCGAGCGTGGCTGCTGCTCGCAAAATGCCTGCAGAGGAGTCCAAGAGTCGGCCGCTGCCAACGTCCAACGTCTTCTGTGCTCTGCTGTTGAGGGCGGCTACTGACTCATCCGGCTCTGCTTCGAGTGAAGCTGTCCTGCCACTTAGCAGGCTCACGTCAATGGCAAGGGGCATGATGCAGCCCCTCGATGGCTCTTGCCTTGGGCCGAAGCTCAAAAGTCCGTGCCGGGGCCTGGATCAAAGGTTTAGGGCTTAAGGTCCGTGAGTTCTATGCCCCAGTAGCAGAGGCTCACTTGTGGTATGATGCCAGGGATCAAGCTTCACAACAAAAAAGCCTCAAAAGGGAGATGGGGCTGCGCTGCATCGGGCTGCTTCAGGTTTGGGAGTTGGGGGTTCACGGGCTTGGGGTGCATCCTGATGCGTAAGCCCATGGCCAAGCTTGCTGCTCAAGACAGCGTATCGTGCGGCGCGCGCACCTCTCAAATGTCGGGCTTTGAGAGGACTCTCTTCTGGGCTAGGTGTCGATTTCAACAGTCCCCAAAATTATGTATAATTCGGGTTCCATATTAAAACACTCAGGGAAATTAAAAACTCTCCCAAATCGATACCTAGTGGGACATCTGTCAAGGGTCGGAAACCCTCGCCACCGGAAGGTGATAACCCAAATCGGAGACTCGGGTCCGGAAAAAAAAACCCTAAAAATGCGTTTGGGGTTTGGGGTGTAGGGTTGAGGGTTTAGGGTTTAGGGCGCTGCCAAACCTGCCCGAACCAGCACCATCAGGCGCGCAATAAGGTTGTGGCTTGAAGTTTTACCCTCACCCTCCCCTACTAAACTCCACAAACCCTAAACCCTAAACCCTAAACCCTAAACCCTAAACCCTAAACCCTAAACCCTAAACCCTCAACCCTAAACCCTAAACTCTAAACCCTAAACCCAACCCCCAGGCTCCAAGCACAAACTAGTGCGGCAACCCTAAACTAATTCCTCCGAATGTCGCGGAAGATTCTCTCTTCTTCTTTTGGCCCACACACCCACAAAATCAGGCAAAGCAACAGGGTTTAAGGGTTTGGGCCTTAGGGCTTAGAGACAACTGACAAAAAATGGAGCCGTAAACTCGAACCTGTCTTTAAAACACGACCGTTGTGCGCCGTAGGGTTCTGATTGCAAGTCAGCCCGCGAGCCTTGTCCACCGCATGGTGGTTCGTGACGATGATCTCTGCGACCACTGACAAGAAGTCCACCTCGTCACCAGACTAGGTGTCGATTTCAACAGTCCCCAAAATTATGTATAATTTGGGTTCCATATTCACACAATAAGGGAAATTAAAAACTATCCCAAATCGATACCTAGCAGAGGTTCAGTCTGTGCCCGCACAGCACTCTTACTTGGAGGTTCCTGGGCAGTTCTAAGTAGGGGTGTAAGTACCCGAATATAGGGGTATAAGTATAGTTACCCTCATTGTCGCCTTGCGATGCTAATTGAAGCTGAGGACTTCAACCCAGTTCTGGAGAGTTGCAAACATGACTCAGCTGAGAGGGGCTTGTAGAGTTAAGAAGCCGTTGCTAGGGCTCCGATTCCTGGATAGATGCTTGGTATTTAAACGCAGCTTGAAGTCATAATCGTTGCTAGGCAATCTTTATACATCATTACACATTGCTATGGCATGCACTTGTTCATCTACATGAACTTGTTGTTCTTACCGCTCCTTGATTTAGGTTCTTGCCATTCTATGTGGTGCGGAAATTTGGGGGGGGGGGGGGGGGGCATGAGCGTTAGGGGGTCTAGAGTTGTGGGTTTTGGGTTTTGGGTTACACTTGCGCTTCGGAATGTAGAACGATAGCAAGTTCGATGATAGCCAACTGACCTTAGCCTGCTTCAGGGTATGGGGTGCAGGGCTGAGGAACTGTTGTACTACAGCCACAGCTCCCTGTGCCCGATGGCACCGGCACGCAGGGACCGTTTTTATTTTCAAGATGTCGGTATTCGTGGGGCGGGGCCGACAAGGAAACAATGGCCAGCATCCTCCTGCCCCCCTCTGCCGGTTCTATGGGCGGGGGCCTGTTGAGCTGCGTGTGCCCACAATTTGTACTTGGGTAGTTGATCTTATGATTACAGGGTTAGAAAACATATACTAAACCCTAAACCCTAAACCCTAAACCCTCAACCCTCAACCCTAAACCCTAAACCCTAAACCCTAAACCCTAAACCCACGCTGTGTTGCAGAGACTGAGGTCGGGTGCAGGCCTTGCCCCCTCGTTGGCCAACAAAAAATTCAGCAGAAGAGAGCACTCCGGAGGTCTGAGGCAACGATCCGCCAAACCCTAAACCCTAAACCCTAAACCCTAAACCCTAAACCCTAAACCCTAAACCCTAAACCCTAAACCCTTAGGCTTAACCGAACCTCCGATGCGCAGGTAAGGTCGGAACAACCTCACAGCTCTCCTCTGCATCTTGTGCATGCTCTCCCACCCCCCGAGAGCTTGCCACACATGTAAATGAAGTTCTTCGAGCCATGACACACCCTTTGGCTGCAAGGACGCCCAAATGCCTTCTTGCATAAGGTTACTGGGCCATCTTGCGCCTAAGGGGACAATGGCGTCTGACTGCTGTGCGCAGGGTCTGTTGCACCTACCGCACGGAAGATCTGAATATCTGAGGCACACTGGCCCGCTTCAGCAGCGGCTGATTGTACGTGTATGCACTGGTCTGGCACTGGGAAAAACGTCTCAGGACAACAACCAATTCAGACAGAACCTAGCAGGTAACAGCAAGCACATCTGCAACATTGTTACGGCCCAGTGCCTCTCGGGTGCATATGCGTGCTGGGAACGTTCGACGGTACTAGTAACGGCGCTTTGCCCGTAAAAGAAGCACACCCAATTTGCGACAAGTGGCAACAGAACATGGAGCCTGTCAGAGGCACATACTCACCGACAAGCTTAGCCGGCCACACAGCGTCTCACTCAGGAATGGAGCAGTCACTACGAAGAAACCATGCACCCAGGGCCGTTTTCGGATCTGGCGTTTAAAGGGTTCCTGAAAAGTTGCCTGCAATAGTCTGACAGGCTTTTGGGACAGACACTAGCACAAATAGCACCAAATACATGCAGGTACACAGGCCGCATATGCATCCGAAAACTGCCCGGAATCTCGCAGGTGCTGCTTAACCCTCCTTGTGAGAGCTGGCGCCTCAACTCGGGATCTCCTCCGAAACACATGATAGACGATAGAATTTACGGTTTAGGGTTTAGGGTTTAGGGTTTAGGGTTTAGGCTTTAGGGGCATAAACACAAGATCGCCCCCCCCCCCCTTAGAAGTGCTTCAGGCGTTCATCACCTCCGAGCGCTAGATGAAATTCTCCTTGCTGTCACCGACTTGCTTCTGAGACTCATAGGGCGGCAGCCGCAGCTCCAGACGATCCAGGCCCTTCAAAGGCAAATGCTCGTACTCGGGCCAGAGGGTAATGAGGACGTACTTGCCGGCAGGGTCGATCTTGTACTTGCAACGATCCACTGCCAGGAGCCCCGGCAACAAACTCGATGAAGCTGTCCATGCATAGCCTTCGCAGTCAACAGCTTGGATAGTAAATCTCATCATCATGAAGTGCACTTGCACATGACGGAAGGTCGTTCCCAAGCGACTGAAGTGTTGCGGTGTTAGGCGAATACGCAAACGTCCCGAATCCTTCTGCGACGTGGGCCTGCCTGCCTCGCGGGCGCCACGCTGTGCGTGTTTAGGGTTTAGGGTTTAGGGTTTAGGGTTTAGGGTTTAGGGTTTAGGGTTTAGGGTTTAGGGTTTAGGGTTTAGGGTTTAGGGTTTAGGGTTTAGGGTTTAGGGTTTAGGGTTTAGGGTTTAGGGTTTAGGGTTTAGGGTTCTCCATTTTTTTTATAGCCTTGTCCGTGACCTTCATTCCCATGATGCTTTGTTGGATCTCAGACTGCGCTTCGTCGATCGGATCTTTTCCCGGGTTGTCGCTGCGCTTCTCCTGCAGCTTCTACAACCTAAGCCCTGAGCCCTTTAACCCCTAAGTCCCAGTCCCTAATCTCCTAAACCCGAAACCCAAAACATAAACCCTACAAACCCTTAAAAACCCCTACAAACCCCTATAAGCCCCTATAAACCCCTGTAAACCCTAAACCCTCCTGGAGCTTCTCCTGCTTGCTGGGCGTGACAAGGCCTGGACTCAAAGGAGAGCAGCCAACGCTGGAGGCTTTGCATGTCTTGCTCTTGACCCTCGGCTTCTTCCAAACCTAGGTCGGCCCCTTTTAGGGTTTAGGGTTTAGGGTTTAGGATTTAGGGTTTAGGATTTAGGATCTAGGGTTTAGGATTTAGGGTTTAGGATCTAGGGTTTAGAGGGTTTGGGGCCCATACCCTGCAACTAAGAATGATGTTCCCATGGTCGGCCCATACCCTGTTTCAAAAGAGATTCCCAAAGAGGATCTTCTCAAACTATAAAGGAAAAAACACATCCACAGGCCTCCCTAGGAACCGCTTTGCCTCCGAGACCTGGCATGTCTGGTGCGGTCTTGATTGAACTGCCAGAGCTGAATCGACCACGACCACTCGCGGGATTCAGGAGAATTGCTCCCTGTCAGCTTCAAGGGTTTAGGGTTTGGGCTTAGGGTTTGGGGTTTAGGGTTTCGGGTTTAGGGTTTAAGGTCTAGGGTTTAGGGTTTAGGGTTTAAGGTCTAGGGTCTAGGGTTTAGGGTTTAGGGTTTATGGTTTAGTCCCCTTGCTCCAGCACTGCCTTGGCGAATATGGGAAGGTTCACCACACATTACGACACCAGCCCCTACCAAACAGGTATACCACGTGTTGGCGAGCGGCAACATCCTCTGGGCTGGGCTGCTCACTTCTTTTCGTATGGTTGGCGTCGCGCAGCTTGTCGGAGCCACGGTGCTGAGTGGCAGCCTTGCCTTTGGTCACTGGGCGCGTGGCGATCTCCGAGCTCGAGGAGCCGTACACAAATTCATCAGACTGGGCTGTGGTCTCTTGACTGCAGATTGCCTGCATCTTCGAACCACCCCCCGGACCCGGGCATCTTCTCAGTGCGTGGTGGATCTCGGCGAGCATTGAAAATGGCGCGCCCGACTTCCTCGAAAACTTAGCCTATAGCACCAACGGAGTCCTGGAGCCAGACGACTTAGGGCTCAAAGCTGTAAAGCAAGGGCTTTAGGCTTTAGGCGTTTTGGGGTAAAAGGATTTCGGAGTACCCGGGGGAATCAGCGCAGCGGTCGGGCTAAGGGCCTTGTCCCGAGCCTTATAGGCTCTACGAACTTCAGTTTACCTGGGCCCTCAACGCAAACGCCGGGTAAGAACGAGCTTCACCACCTTGGCCACTATGGAAACTGCTGCTGCGACTGTCGCTAACCCCTATGCCCGATTCTCCAAACTGGAATGAGGACTTTGAAGCTCCAGTGTCTTCGGGACTCCCTGGAAAGCACCGTGTCCTTAAGATTGTTAAGGACTTTCCTAAATCACAAATTGCAAGACACGTGCCTCTGAGAATTGCGAACCAAAACTCTCTTAAACGACAAATCGCAAGCCACGCGTTTTGAAAATATTCTTCACAAACAAACAAATAGCAAGCACCGTGTCTCTAGAATGTTTTGAAACACATTCGTCCAAGATCACAAACTGCAAGCGCTGTGACAATGAGTTTTAAAGACAAGCAAGCCTTCAAAACGCAAAGAACCGTGTACAAGCGGCGTGTTCTTGAACAATGCCTCTTCCAAGATAACAGATCGCAAGCGCCGCGCCTTCTTTTCAATCGCAAGCGACATGTCCCTAAGAGATTAGACCAAGACCACCCGGTCAACATCACAAACGGCGGCGCCCCTAGGAGTGTTGAAAAAACTCTCCTCCGAAAGATTGGCTATTTGAGTGTGTTGGACCCAAGAACCGTGTTGGTGAACAGTTTCCTTCAGTTTGCGCTTCAACAAATCTGTCCCGAGCCAGCCTCGCAGGCCAGCATGTCCAAGCTTGTTTGCTTCGGCGTGCTCAGGACACCTTACGCAGCGTGCACAAGTGCGAGTGAGCCTCAACACAGTCGCGTCACACGCTCCTTTGTCAGGGTTTCCGGGGACTCTGGATTCTAAGGCCCTGGCCCGAGTGCAAACGTGTGCAAAGTCATTCAGATTTCAGCGAGCTCCGAGCCAAACACAGCAGGCAAGAGAACAGGCTCAAGGTACAGAACGAACTCCGGCCTATCTTTCGCAACATGCTTCGGGGAGTTTGATAGTTGCTGGGCATGCAGCACTGCAGCACTACCAACAGTTCTCCTGCTTCCGAGCGGTTATGTTACACAAGTCCCACACACACAACTTATGGAATCAGGGAAACCTGGGGAAGCATGCAAGGATATCCTCTTCTGGTGACTCGGGTGCACGCAGCAGCTTCCCATTCCTGATATGCTCTCGACTTTTGAAATTGGGCTCGGGTCGAGGCCGGCCGCTCTCACATCAGGGGCCTGCCGCTGACAGGGTTTAGGGTTTAGGTTTAGGTTTAGGGTTTAGGGTTTAGGGTTTAGGGTTTAGGGTTTAGGGTTTAGGGTTTAGGGTTTAGGGTTAGGGTTTAAGGGGGGTTCAGCGTTTAGGGTTTCCAGGGCTTCGGGTTTAGGGGCCTCTGGTAACTCTTTCCGTATAAGAGCCCGGCTGGTTTGTATAGCCTTTCAGTGATTCTTAGGCGCACTCTAAAGCAGGTAGGTTTTGGGCCCTTCAGGTTTTATCAACAAAATTCTAGGCTGGGTACAAACCGTAAGGTGTAAAGCTTTCACTGCACAGCAGGGGCCTACGTGCCTGGATCTTCAAGGGATCGATCCCGCAAGTACACTGGCTCTGATCATCACACAACAGCTGGATTTACGCACCGGTTTTGAACTGCAACCGAATAGAACCGGACACGAAGTGTTTCAGGTATCGTAACTTCACCCTTGGGCGGCCCATTGTAGACCCCTGCTGCTACGGTGGAAGCGCCGCCTGCTGGTCGCAAACGGGGACGGCCTGCTTGACATCGTTTTTGGACACTGACCCAACATGATCCAACATGCTTTTTCGGCTAGCGGAGGGGCACCTCAAAACATGACTTGCAAGTAGCTGCACGTCACCGATCATCACTGCACGTCCTAGAAGCCGAGAACCCCAAGAACAGCATGCGCGGACATCCCCCAAGGAGGTACCTCGGCCATGGGAGTCTGTCGCGGCCTGGTCAAGCGTCGGAGTTGCCGAGGGTCGTACGTAAGCCCTGTAAGGGATGCTCGGTGCTAACTGTCAGCTTGCTTGGTTAGACTATTTCGGGGGCGGGGGGGGGGCGGGTGTAGGGGGCCAGGGCTTCCAGCAGCACACACACACACACACACACACACACACACACACACACACACACACACACACACACACACACACACACACACACACACACACACACACGCACAAACACACCTTTGACAAGGCAAGGACCCATGTGAAGGACCCATGTGAAGGACCCATGTGAAGGACGTCGACAGGACAAGACTGGTTTTTTGAGGGGTGAAGTTGAGGTGAACATTTTTGTTCCAACTCGTGCCAGACACCGGGAATGGCACAAGTTAAAAAACAGGATGAGATGATGGCAACGAGAGGTGTGTGGGCGCGGCCCCTGTTGCACCAGACACGAGGAATGATGCAACACGAACTGAGATGGATATTCCAAAGCTCTGCCTCCTGCTTTGGGGCTTCGACTGCTTCCGCGGTGGCCGTCGCCGCGGCATCGGAGGCGTTCCCAGAGGCCTTGCGATCACACGCGGCTTCGCTCAAGCGCAAAACTTGGGACTTGCATCTGCGAAATATGGTGGTGTGTTTTCAGGTTTTCGGTGGAGTGCTTTCAAAGTTCAACGACTGCGCTACGGGCGGGCGTGCTTGTAGAAGTTACCCCACGTGTGCAGAAGTTGGCCCACAGGCCGTTCCCCGGAGGCACAGCTGTGTTCAAGAGCCACGTTTTCAAAACCATTTCGGACTTCACACGACCGTACCCTCGAGATTGCCGCTGCCAAGGACGCTCAACACAAGCCAAAATCATCTTCAACTTTTGGCCGCCCAGCAGGGCACAGGCTCTTTTTCTTGCACAATGCGGCCACACCCTTGAGATAGCATGTTCCAAGTACCCTCGCGAAACCCAAAAAGATCTTCAAACGGTGGCCCCGCCGCAGGGCGCAGTCTTTTTTTAGAACCGAGCCAGATTTCAGGGAGCTTTGTCATCACGCAGTGGCATTCTTCCAGACGTCCCGGGCGCCAAGCAGTGTGACGGAGACTGTGATTGAAAAGGCTGACCTGTAATCCAGAAAGCTCCGGCAACAAGTCGGTAAGTTGGCCGACCGATGCCCAGCCCACTAAGGCACTAAGGCGAGTAACGACAGATGCCAAAGAGAGCTCAACTTCTGCTTCAGCGCTCGTGGCCTTTCCGCTCGGGACGCCCTCACAAGCCATCTGAGAACATAGCCCATGTGACATGGTATCACAGTTTTGCAGCGTTCCCCCAGGGCACAGCGGGATTGGCACAACTTCCGTCTTGCGGGACAACTTCCACATCTACCCAGTATACGGGTATGAAAAGACGGAGCTGAGCCTGCGTCTCTAAGGCTGCACGCACGACATCAACCAGCCCTGGCACTGCTGGGCCTTCGCTTGGAGCGCCTTGACCCGGGCCAGCGCCTTGAGCGAAGCAGCCCAAAAAAAATGGTTTTTAAAAAGAGGGTTTTAAAAACCCTCGGTTTTTAAAAACCCTCTTTCTAACAGCAATGGTGGCGGACCGTGAAGAGTTGCTGACGCTGCTGGCCTCGAGCAGGGTGGCCCTGCGTGCCTGCGCTTGCGCCTGCGCTTGCGCCTGCGCTTGCGCCTGCCAAGGATCCCACTCAATTCGAATTGAAAGCGGCGGACTTACTTGCAGAGCTTTGTGTAGAAGTTAACAGCCTCAACGCCCTGACGCCGAGGCTACATCAAACCGCCTAAGCGCCGCAACATAAAGATGGCTTGCGGTGGGGCGGGGGGGCGGGAGGGGGGGGCGGGGGATTTAATGAGGTGTTGGGGGGCTGGGGTCTGCATAGGATGTGGTTTGGGGCTTTGAAAGTCCAAGAGGCCTGCACAAGCATTTCCCGCAACGGGATGCCATTGGCCTCAGTGCTCAAATATGGGGCTTCGCGTCTGGGATTTCTGATCAGGAAAGTAGGGTTTAGGGTTTTGGTTCATGGAATAATGTCCAGCGTCGTGAGGGTTGGGAATCGAAGTATTCCTGCCCTTGCCCCCGGCCTGCTGAACCCGATAACACCTTGAACCCAAGCAGCGATGGACATCTCGACCGTGGCCACCCAGCAACACCAGCCCTTAACTTCCAATCAAGGAACCTGCCCGAACCCCGCCAAGCCCACACCTATTGCGTGAGAGCAGCCTCGCAGATGTGGCGCACACACCGCTGCCCTTGCATGGATTTTTTCAAATCAAGGAGGTCAGAGCCGCAGGGTAATGAACTCAAGCGGTGCCCCAATGGAGGGGGCGCCGTGCCTTTTTGGAGAGGCGTGCAGAGAGCCACCGCACGCCCGGCCCTGGCGCGTTGGAGGCTTTGGATGTCGGAGGGGTTCAGCCCAACCAGAGCTGCTCCTGCTCCTAGCACTCTAAACCCAAAACCTCTTGGCCGCGAAACCATAAACCCCAAACCCCAAACCCCAAACCCCAAACCCTAAACCCTAAACCCTAAACCCTAAACCCTAAACCCTAAACCCTCCAAAACCTTCAGACGAGGGGCGCGACCGCGTGGCGCACGTGGTGGAACGGCCCAGGCTTGCCCTGCGAGCCTGAGCTGATGGAAGGCATGTCCAAAGGTTTAGGGTTTAGGGTTTAGGGTTTAGGGTTTAGGGTTTAGGGTTTAGGATCATGCCCGAAAACATGCCCTCTTCCCAATAGGGCCATCAACCAGCATAGAACAACTCACAGAGTACTTATGCCTGGTTGTCTGACAGGTGGCCTTTCACTCCAAGCGGGTCCTTGGATTGCAACGTGCTTGCATTGCAAGAGGACACCTCCATCATGGCTCACTCTGGCATTTAAGCCCTCCCCCCCCCCCCCCACCCCCCCCCCCCCCCGCAATCATTTAGGGGAGTAGCCCCCCCCCCCCCAATGGGAAGGAGTCTGGAATCATTTCCACATGGCTCCACGTTGACGGATATGGACCCCCCCAACCCCTTCTGCAATCATTTCCTGGAAGGTCGATATGATTGCGGCAATTTGCAATCATTTAGCCCCCCCCCCCCCCCCCCCCCCCCCCCACAATCTTTTTTAAGGGGGCCCTGACACACCTCCCAAATCCCCTCTAAAGCTGCCAAGAAGCCCACACGACCCACGCCTGCAAAGTCGTGTACGTTTCTGTATGGCGCAGTGCACGCAGTTGCAAGAAGCTGAACAGGGACATAATCAGCACGAGCTGATGTCGCGCTTACTAGGAATTCCTCGCTGAAGATCAATGATTGCAACGATCTATCCCCATCACGATGCATGTTAAAAAGATCACCCGGCCTATTCAGGCAAGATTGTAAACTCGTTGAGCGCATCAGTGTAGTGCGCGCAGCGCAAGACATCTAAGGGCATCACTCTACATACACACAGGCTGAGATAACAACCCTTGGACGTACTCGGGCGTACGGGGGCTGCGGTCGCGGAACGCGGCCGCAATGACAACCCTGGCGCACCTGCTGCACGCAGCGGCGACCTCGGCTGCGGCGGCGCTGGCGCTGGATTGTAGCAGCATCTGCTGCACGTTGATGTTGCGGATCCGTGGCCTTTGCGTGGAATGTGGATTGTTCGATCCTTCAAGGGCCCCGAATCAGCCAACTAGGCGCGCACTAACACGGTAAGATGATCAAGAAGTTGGTTGCCAAATGTCCTTTCGGCCCCCCTCTTCGTATCATTTTGTGTAGTCAGCCTTGAATAGATAGAAGTTGGGTTTCGGGGGGGTTGAATTTTTCGGGACTTGGGCGTTTCCCCACGTTTTTTGAGGAACCCATAGATAGAATCTTGAAACCCGTAGATAGAAACAATTGAAAACCCATACGTACATGGTGAGACGCTCTTGAACAATTGCAACGCGGATTCGCAGCTTGGGAAGGAACACGCTCTCTACTACTCCTTTTGCCCTGCCTGGTCTTCCATATCTCGGCTGCAGGCGCTGGAAGCATCCGCCAGGTGCGTCTCAAGATGCTGCACTTGCCGAGCCAATGCGTCGCGCTCTGTTGACAAGCGCGCGGCCTCCAGACGAGTGCACAGTGAGGCTTGACGACCCCCCCACTGCGTAAAAGCCGACAGTACTCCTACAAGCCCAAAGTCACAGATGCAAGCCCGAATTCGGCATGAAATCCTCATGACATTCCGCAGCCCGAACACCTGAGACTGGACATTTACCTCAGCTGCCTCACCCGGCGCCCCACCCCCTCCCCAATCCCCTTTGCACAGGCATTTGCATCTCCCAGCCTCCAATCTTTGTGGTTGCAGGGTTGGTTTGCGAATGCAAGGCTTGAGGGTGTAGCAGTGGAGGGTGGTTGTGGGGTGTGGGGTGTGGGCTTTGCCTGGAGACATAAATAAGCACACCACCACCACACAATCCTTACTCGATGAAAAGTTTTGGGCAGTTTCGCGATTGTGTAGCTTCGATACCGCCAAAAAGCCGAAGCCCCAAACCCTGTTTTGCAGGTTAGTTATCCCCAAACCCCAAACCCTAAACCCTGGAGCCTATACTTCGTATCATGGGTATTTTCGGTACTGTTTTGGGGTTCTGCCAGGTCCAGTGGTCGCATGCTGTGCAAGTCTCGGCCCCTCAGTGTGTGAAGGCTTTGGTGGGCCTTGACACCGACTTAGGCAACAGAACCCTGCGAGCTCCATGCTACAGATGCAAGAAAACCACATTTTGTAGATACGCATCACATACATATTCATGTATTCCTTTACAGACACGTATATGTATAGCTCTTATATGCGTCTCATGCGCTTATGTACATATGCACCTGTGTAGTATATGTATACAGAGGATTATTCAAATGTGTGCTTATGTATGAGTAGTTGCACGGTGCAGTTGCATGCTTCCCTCTTCGGGTTCAGGGCTTCAGTAGGGCTCCAAAGAGCCTCTCCGTCTCTGTGCTCATAGATTGGGCTCCTGGAGCCTTACGCCCCTACACCTCAGAAGCTGTAAGTAGGAGACCCTAAAACCCTAAACTAGGGCACAGGGCCACCCCCTTGTATAGCCCTCTCTTCCTGGGAATCCCAATGCTTTAAGCTCACGTCCCAAACCCCTGGAAGGGTTCCCAACATCAAAACTGAGTCTCCGGGGAATCTCGACTCCCCCCATCCAGTACCAAGAGATGGCTTGCAAAGAAAGCCAGCCAGTTTCGGGGTTTTGGCTTAATGAGGTGTGCAGGGTTCAGGGGTTTAAGTGTTTAGGGGTCAGGAGCAGTGGGTCCAAATCGACGAGTTGAATCACGCGAGGTTCTTTATCTAGGACGGCTTGCAGTCACAATGTTTCAGAGTGCGCGCTCACGTGCGCCTGTGTATGTGTGTGTGTGTGTTTGCAAAGATACATGCGGTGGACGTACGTGTGTATATATATAGACATACACATATATGTACACCTTTCCCCAGATCAGCATCAACACACAAACTCACACCAAACTCGATCGATCAAGGCGGCGTTATATACGCTTTCTACTGCTCCTTTTGCCCTGCCTGCTCTTGCAGTTGCTTCTCAAGCTGCTGCACTTGCTGAGCCAACACGTCGCGCTCTGTTGACAAGCGTGTGGCCTCCGGAAAGGCGAGTGCACAGTGAGGCTTGACGCTCTTGAACAATTGCAACGCGGACTCAGAGAAACAAGTTTTATGCAGTGATTTGTAGCTTGGGAAGGAACACGCTTTCTACTGCTCCTTTTGCCCTGCCTGCTCTTGCAGTTGCTTCTCAAGCTGCTGCACTTGCTGAGCCAACACGTCGCGCTCTGTTGACAAGCGTGTGGCCTCCGGAAAGGCGAGTGCACAGTGAGGCTTGACGCTCTTGAACAATTGCAACGCGGACTCAGAGAAACAAGTTTTATGCAGTGATTTGTAGCTTGGGAAGGAACACGCTTTCTACTGCTCCTTTTGCCCTGCCTGCTCTTGCAGTTGCTTCTCAAGCTGCTGCACTTGCTGAGCCAACACGTCGCGCTCTGTTGACAAGCGTGTGGCCTCCGGAAAGGCGAGTGCACAGTGAGGCTTGACGCTCTTGAACAATTGCAACGCGGACTCAGAGAAACAAGTTTTATGCAGTGATTTGTAGCTTGGGAAGGAACACGCTTTCTACTATTTTCTACTACTCCTGTTGCCCTGCCTTGTCTTCCATATTCAGCTTCTCCTTGAAGCAGCTGCCAGTTGTTTCTCAAGCTGCTGCACTTGCTGGGCCAATGCGTCGCGCTGGCACACGGCCTCCGGAAAGGCAAGTGCACAGTGAGGCTTGACGAACAACTGCAACGCGGATCAAGAGAAACAAGTCAGAAACAATGCCGTGATTTGTAGCTTGGGAAGGAACACGCTTGCAGGTCTTCCAGATCTCGGCCGCGGGCGCTGGAAGCATCCGCGAGTTGCTTCTCAAGCTGCTGCACTTTTCCAGCAAATGCGTCGCGCTCTGTTGACAAGCGCGCGGCCTCCGGAAAGGCGAGTGCATAGCGATTCTCTGTAACACGGTACCAAGTCCCCTTTCTTGTTTTGTTTTTGAGGGTGGGGGGGGGCGAGATAGAGGGAGCGGGCGTGGTGAGGGGCCTGGGGGCAGAGGGGGGTCCCCGGACGCTTGCGTCGTTTTTGACGGGCCTGAGCTTTTCGATGACATGGTGTTGGCGTGGTGGGTGGTGGGTGGTGGGTGGTGGGGTGGTGGGGTGGTGGGTCGGTGGGTCGGTGGGTCGGTGGGTCGGTGGGTCTGGGGTCGGTGGGTCGGTGGGTCGGTGGGTCGGTGGGTCGGTGGGTCGGTGGGTCGGTGGGTGGGTGGGTCGGTGGGTCGGTGGGTTGGTGGTTTGGTGGGTTGGTGGGTTGGCAGGTGGGGGGGGGGGGGGGGGGGGGGGGGGGGGGGGGGGGGGGGGGGACCAATTACTTTGAGGCTTGGGCCAAGTTCGAGCTTTCGGGGCGAAGAAACACAAACCCTTCATGAGAGGACTAGCGTTGCTAGGCTCAGGAGTAACCTAGGAATAAAAAGGGTGCCCTTTTTGGTTCAAAGGGGCTTATTGGGGAGCCTAAACCCTGAAAAGAGGAATAAGCCCTAGGCTGTGTCATGCAATTCTCTCGGGGCCCGCCTGGGGTTCGGTAGGGTTTCAGGGTGTAGGGGTGTAGGGTTTCGGGCTTAGGAAACGTGACGTTCTGCAATTTTCTCAGCACCTGAACGGGTTTTCCTCGCAGAGGACGGACGGACCCACACAACACAAACGTACTGCAGGTTTTAGGGCCTAGGGTTTATAGGCTTTAGGCTTACCCAACCAAGGCTCCTGTGTGGCACCTTTTTGGGGTAGTATACTAGAAACCCTTAATTCATAACTAACCCAAAAAAAAACTACATTGGAGCCTTCAGGTGGGCCCTATAAAGCCTCTCATCAACTGCTGGGCTCCCGAGCGTCCATGGCAGTACCTGAGATGTGCTCCTGGCCACGGCGATTCAAGAATTTCAAGCTGAGGCTCTTGCGACGTTCATCATATTAGGAAGGGATACAGGATGGGGCGTCATATGACATTCCCCTATGGAGCCATCCGGGGGGCCCCCCACAATTCCGCGACTCCTAATTGTTGAGAGCCAGGAGGGTTTTGGGGTTGCGGGCTTCACCTTGGTACGACCAAGAGACCAAACATCCAGCCTTAGTATCTCTGGGGTTTGGGGCGTAGGGTTGATTTAGGGCTTCGGCCACATACTCCGCACTCCACATCCCAAACCCCAAACCTCTAAGAACAGCCACGGGCCGCATGCCCAACATGCCCAAGGACGGGGGCTTCGAATTCTGGCGTCGGAGTGTAGAGTCTATGTAGATCTGAGTGTCAAGGGAGGGGATCGGAGTTGGTAAGGGTACGCGGAAGTCCTGACTACAGGGTTTTCGAGTTAGGCTGCGAGGTGCTTGGCTCGAGGTTCAAGGCTTCTCCTCAGACATGAAACCGCAGAAGGTGCAATGTACAATTCAGACGTACTGAGTCGGACATAGGTTCTGTTTCGGGCAGCATAATCACCCTTTTGCCTATTGAAGGAGGGGGCCCCACGCATCCTGACAGCTGCGCTCCTGAAGGTTGCTGGTGGTTTTCAGCATGGTGTCTTCCACCTGCCCGTTCAGCCAGCTTTGGAAAGCCTTAAGAATCGAGTCCCGAACCGTTAAACCCCAAATCCCTAAAGCCCCAAAAAGGCCCTGGACACAAACCCCCCCCCCCCCCAAAGCCCTTAAAACCCAGAACCCCCACGCCCACGGACCCAGGATGTTTCTAGCAGTGCGCATGTTACAGGCTTGATCTAGCTTCTACGGCCACTTTTTGGTGCCTCATTCGAGTTGTTTCTGTACTCCTTGGCCTAAGGTAGATTAAGGGCTTGGGGGCTAGACTTGAGGGGTCATCCCCTCCCCTATGAGCCCCATGAAGGTGCTTGGCGGCCCAAAGCGGGCCGAGTCCCGGCGGGACAACAGCCTCCGGGTTTAGGGTTTGGGGTTTGGGGTTTGGGGTTTAGGGTTTAGGGTTTGGGGTTTAGGGTTTAGGGTTTGGGGTTTGGAGTTTAGGGTTCAGGGTTTAGGGCTCCCACCTTGGGCACAACGCTTAGCACAGTGTCGAGGTCCTGGGCCATGAGCTCGACCTCAGCCGCAGCGGGGCTTTCGGGTTGCTGATTGCTTAGGCACCCCCCTAGAAGAATGCAAAAGACTCTTCCTTACAAGGGCAATATAGGGATATTGTTTTGTATATATATATGTATATATACATTTCTTTTTTGGGGGGGAGGGGTATGAAGGGGTTTAGAGCTTACTACGACTTGCTTAAGAACCCCCTTTATGAGGGCAATCTAAGGATTATTAATCTTGTTTTTCTTTTGGGGGGGGGTTCTTAAGCAAATAGTAGCTTAGGCTTTACGGTGCCATAGGGTTTAGTTTAGGGATGAGGAGGGTTAGGAAATAACGAGTTTGCGGTCGGGGGTTTAGGGTTTCCTTTCCTTACCGGTTTTCGGGCAAAATAGAGGAGTTTAGGAGCTTTGGCGGGGTGCTACTAGTATCTACATGGTGGGTTCTCGAAATTCTGGTTCAATTGGGGATCGTAGTATAAGGCGGCCCCGAACATTTCAGGGCATCCAAAATGTATCCCAAGAGGGGCCGTAGCCCTAATCGAGAGAACTGACCACATGAAGTCACCCTTTCGCGCTTTGACTCCTACACCTGACGTCATAAGGAGCCCCCTCAATGCGACTGTTCATCCCTTCGAGTCGGGGGGCGGGGGGGGGGGGCGGGGGGGCGAGGGGCGGCGTGCTGGGACGGGGGGCGGCGGTGGTGGTGTTGTGTGCAGCTTGAGGGTGTGGTGGTATGTATACAAGGAGCTGGTCTATTTTATGTCAGTCTTCAGTCTGCAAACCAAATCCTGAACCATGCCCTCCGTGGCAGCAGACCTCGACGTCGGCCCGGCCAGAGTTGTCCTCGCAGAAAAGATACAGGTTCCAGCATTTGGGCTTGGGTTTGGGTTTGGCAATGTTTGGGAGTCTCGGACTCTCTACTTCTGGGGGTGGTATACTCTACTAACCCCTCATTCCTAAACCTTTAACAAGCCCTGGACCTTCGAAAAAGCCGTAAGGCCAAAAGAACCTGTCGTACCTACTTGGACCTTCAGTCATGGAGTCTATCATTTTAGGGTTTAGGGTGATTGTCTAGGATGGAGTTTGTCCTTCCAACCTGGACACTCCAACCTCACCCAAAGGGAGGTTTGGGGACCCCGGTGGCTACACCCCCCAAAAGCCCTAAACCCTCACACCCCTCAACCTCCTCAAACCTTTGCTTCGGGGCTACCTTACCTTTGGGGCTCATCTAAACCCCCCAACACTGGCCCAACACCCACGAGCTCAGCAGCGTGGGTTTTTTCAGGTCTTCGGGAGAGACTTGGGGCTTCAGAGACTTGAGGCTTAAGATGCCGGGCACCCTCAACCCTAAACACCAGCAGCCAAGCCCGGGACCCTGCCGAGCAGCACTGGCAAGGCCTTCAGCTTTCGGCGTTTTCGGCGTTGTCTCAGGGTAGCCATTTCTTGCAAGCACCCAGCAATCACCAGCCACTTCTTGCGAATGCCCACGTCGCAGCAGGAACATCGAACTTGGGATGGTTTTGACAGGCTAGAAACATCAGCCATCTCGGCAACATCGAACTCAGATGGGTATTGGCCAGTCGTCCCCAAAACTCTCTCATGTCTAGAAAGTCTGACCACCCCAAGCAGCATCAAAAACACACCAGACATCAATAACATTAAAAAGCTTGCAGTGCTGATGATCCCCCACTTTCGGTCTCTCTCCCTCTCTCTCTTTCCTCTAAGCATTGAACTCCCCATACCAGGATGAATGGCCTTGTCGACGTTGGACATCATGCTGGAGTTGGCACCTTCAAAGAACAACCCGCAGGCTCACCCCGCCTAACCGAAAGTCCGAGCTGCTGGGCCGCCTTGTGTTTATGCTGTTGTTCTTCTTGGGCTCTACTGCAGGTGCTTCTACTGCCACTCGCAGTCGCTAGCAGTTCATAAACCTTTGAAATATGACCTTTGACACATGACCAACGGTACGGTCCTGAACATCACACGCTCCAGACACTGAAGCATCAATCTCTGTAGTGTCCAAGACTTCATGAAGCAGTCTAGGCAGTTCTTGGATGCAACTTCAGCGCAGTTGCAGGGCACTACTGTAGGGTTCAGGTACACCAGGTCACTCGGCAACCTTACGCTTTGCTTAGCAACGAGCGGCGACACCGACCAAAACTGCAGAGACAAGCAGCAGCACGACCACGACCGGGAGGTGAAGCGGTGTCTGTTGCGGCGCGGGACTGGAGCAGCTGCAGCAAGAAAATTCTTCGGGCGCTGCCAACGTAGTTGCGATTGGCGAGGCCGCGTTTGATGATGCTACATTGCTGCTACATGTGTCCAAGCAAGAGAAGGGGTAGTCTGGATACTTGATAACATGTGTAAGACTTGCGTAGGTCAGTCTCTTGCAGCGCAATGATCGAGGATGTCACGCTGCTGCATTTGTTTTAGGCCCGAGCATGGAGAGCTTGTCGGGCTGACTTCCAGATGCTCTCCGAGGCACTGTCAAGGAAACCGACCTCCCCGTTGAGGTTCTTGAACATGCCTTTAAGCTCCTGCGCGAAGGGGTCCAAGCTCTGGGGCTGGCAAGCTGTCAAGTTGGCTACGCTTTGCAACACATTTGCAACACATCACTTGGGTGAGCCCTCGCCGGGAAAGAGCAAGCAAAGGCGAAGTTCGCACACGGCACGAACGACAGAGGGGACGACGAGGGCAGTCTTTACTTTTCATCTTGCAAAACATACAGCTTTGAACTGTTCCCTTGCGCTTCAACTATTGTTGCATCGTGTGTCACCAAGGCCTCCACACCTTGGACCTGAGACCCTCATCCAAATCCTGAACCATGCAGTCGAACCCAGTAACACCGTGGCAGCAGACCTCGCTGTCGACGCTGTCTTTGTTGACCATGCTGGAAACCTTGCCCTGGCAGAAGGAAAGAGTTTGGGTTTGGGTCCAAGTCCAATGCTGCATCTGGGAGTGTTCACTTCTATGAGGGCAGCGCATCTGTCTTTAGGCAGCAACCCATGGCATCACACACTACAATCCTCAATCGCGATCCCAGCCCCAAGAGATTCAAAGATATGGTTGCTGCAGCAATACTCTTTGTAAGCAGCTCCGAGCCTTGTGGGTACCTTGAACAAGAGTATTGCAGAAGCCTTTGATCCAGAAAGCCCCGCGAGAACGCTCAAGCACGCCGGAAGCGCAATCGAACACCGCTCCTGCGCATGTCGTCTCGCGGTCTCTAATGCCGCCACACTTTGGGTTAAGGGTTTTGGCGATCAGAACCCAGAGGTGAATGTTGGACTGTCAGAGCGTCTTGGCAATGCCCATGCAGAAGTCACGAACGCCCAAACTCCAAGAACCAAACCCTAAACCCTAAACTCTAAACCATTGCGTGCTTCTCAGCTACAGCACAGAGTTGGAGGGTTTCGCAAAGTGTCCCGCAAAGGACTCGTTTTTCTTGGCTACCTGCAGCCTGCCTACACGGTATGTTGATCATGGTCTGTAGATCACGGCATGTGAGTATCTACTTCTAGCAACCACTTCAGACTTCTGGTAGAGTTGCATTTCTAGTTTGCAATCCCCACGGAGGGCACGAGAGCAGGGGCGAGAAGGGGCGAGGGACGATGGGGGAAGCGTCTTTGCCGACTTATCACGTATTGCTCCTCCGCAAGACCATCGCTCAGCGTGGCGTTGTAGATCTTTGCTGGCCTTCGTGGCTTGTCGGGGCTGCGAGATTAACGATCGGCTAGCCAGAATTCCACGAAGCCCTTGAAGCCTGGATTGCACATTCACATTTCGTGGAGTTGCTTGTTGCAGGGCAATGCACTCCATGGACGCTGCGCGTGGGTACAGCGACGCAGTTTGCACGGGCACAAGCATTCAAACTTTGCAGGCGCGACCCTCAAAGCTCCTGCTCTCTGAGCGCACGGCGGGCCGCTGTCAGTGTTTGACAAGTCCACGGTGACGGACTCCACTGCCGACGCCTTCATGCGTGCATGACCCAAGCAGCAGAGGCGACGGCAGGGCCCGGGCACTGTTATGTCATACCAAGGCCGGGAATTATTTTTGAATGGCGCAGAAGCTACCCTTGACCGGGTTGTGGGAAGTGCATTAACGTAGTGCCTGAGGAAGTCCTTCGCAACAACCCATGGCTTGGGCTGCTGAATGAGCAGAGGGGTTTTAGGGATTCAACTTCATTTACGATTTGGATGAGGAGGGGTTCTTGAGGTTTAGGGGTTCGGGCTTTGTGCTTTGGGCTTAGGGTTTGCAACTTATGTGCATACGTGTGTGTAGTATATGTATGTGTGTGTGTACGCGTACGCGCGAAAGCTGTGGTGCCATGTGTTCGACTCAAGACAGTGCTGCGGCATGCAGGGAGAGTATTGGTGGGAATCTTCGTCACTTGCTCGGGCACTGCTCTCCCTGAGAATGTCCCTTGCAAGCTCACAATACGGGTGCGGTGCATCCTTTTTCACGGAAAGCAGTACCATGGCGCCAATGGCGCCAGAAGCCCGTCGACAAGATAGTCTACGTCTGCTTCCCAGATTTGGGACTTGTACAAGGCCCGCATATGTTTGGCTGGTCGACCCACCCCACGTCCCCACTTCAGGCTTCGGAGACTTCGGGCCCCAAAGAACGCCAAAGTCTCTGGTCAAGAGGGCGCCATTTCCAGCTTCGGCCATCGCAGTGCTGCAGTCATCCATCTCTTGGCTCTTCGCCAGCTCTCCTGCTCAAACCCTAAACCCTAAACCCTAAACCCTAAAGCTGCGAGGCGCGCTCGTGCTGTGAGAAGAAAACCACCGAAGCGCTGTGGATCTGTGCAGGCATCGCGTGAGTCGTGCTTGCAGTAGTCTGCTGGCGTGCATTGGCGTGCCCAGGCCTAGATTACCTGGTGCTTTGCATCGGGTCTTGTGGCATCGCTTGCGTCTGCAGGGTTTCAAGTCCTCGAAAGTGACATGTTGCAGGGCTGGAGCCCGAGGCTGGACGCACTTCGGGGAATCGCATCGAGAAAAGGGCCCTACGCACAGCCTCGGCCATCGACCTGTGCTGGATCTCTTCAAGCTCCATGTCTTTCGCAAAGGTCTTCCTTGGCTCTGCATCCGCCAGGTAGAAGCCCTTTATGCGGGAAACGATGAGCTCCTGCTTCGCTTGCTCGTTTTCTGGTTCGTCATTACTTGCCCGAAAACCGAAAGTGGGAGCCCAGTCACCGTGCCTACCTGTCAAAGCCTGTGGACATGGAGCTCGCACGGTGTAGCGTCGTGCTATCGCCAAATTTCAAGGTCATAGCTTTGCTTTGCATGAATGCCGCCAAGTCAGAGCAGAGCGGGCTTATCTCAATGGGCAAAGATAAACTGGTCAGACAAACCTACTCGCCGGGCTGATGAACGCAAGTAAGAGGTTCAAGCGTTGCTGCGCGGTCAGCAACATGCCCCCTTGCGGTATCAACCAACTGCCATAGACCCACTGGCAACCCCCGGAGCAGAGAGAACCCAGCTGTGCGTCTTAGAGCGCCTCAGCCAGGACAGACCCACCTCCAAAAGCGCCTATGGCGGCGATATGTTGAGAATTACTCACATCTCAGAAGATGCACTGCAAAGGAAATAAGCATCACAAGCATCGAAGCAATCGAGTGGAACCCATTTTGCTGCACTTGACGTAGCAGTTCACGCACAGCTCGTTGAAGCCAAGATGTAAAAATACCGCTCCTTCTTCTCTTGAACTCCTTCCCCCAAGAAGAAGCTTGTGAACTACTTCACCTCTCAGATATCCAAGCACTGTAGAGGAGAAAAAAAACATCACAAGCATCGCAGCCATCACGGGGAACCCATCTTGCTGCGCTTGACTTAGCAATTCATGCCTAGTTCATTGAAGTCAAGATGGAAAATATCACTCCTCCTTCTCTTTGACACCCTCCCCCAAAAAGAAAAACACACACAACACAACACAACACAACACAACACAACACAACACAACACAACACAACACAACACAACACAACACAACACAACACAACACAACACAACACAACACAACACAACACAGACCCACCCACACATACTCAAACACAAAGACACACAGGCACACAGACACACAGAAACACAGAAACACAGAAACACAGAAACAGGTCTAGCAGCAACAAACGATCAGCATCAGATTGAACTGACTGCATTGCCTGCAGCCATGAAATAGAGCCATCCAAAACCGAGCCGGCCAAATGACGACACAGAATCAAATCTGGAAAACATGAATCCGACGAATCCTTGGAACTCAAATATGCCTGTATTGCTTCCTCTGGAGGATCCAGACCCAGCACGCATGGCGTATCAGCCACGCTGGCGCGCAAAGAAGCCGCCCCAACCACAAAAAACGCTGGCGACAACAGTCTACCTTCTGGCATGCCAAGCTCAAGGTGCACATCAAGCGAGCGGGCATGTTTCCCAGAAACAGAAACAGTAGCATCCTGCAGAAAACTCCAACCAAGGACCAAGTCTTCACCGCCTAATCCCACTAAGTCATGTAGTTTGCAAACCACATCTTGAGGCCATGTCGTTGTGAAAGCGTCACGTTCATCAGTGAAAAGGGTGCCATTTGGTAGCCCCAAGAACTCGCGAATTCTAGACGCATCCACATCCATAGCACAAACCATCATAGCATCCCTCTTGCCAAATTGTTCTTCACCAGCCACTGCCCACAAGTCTTCAACGCATTGGGCAGCCCATAATGCTTCAGCCAGCGACAAATCTGGAGAGCTGAGGACGATTGTACGATAGGAGGAAAGCTGTAATCGCGGTTTACCGCGCTTATGGATATGAAACACCCGCCCCATTTTCAGAAGACACGGCACGCGCATGAAAAATCGCGCCCTATTCTGACAGGCCAGTTGCAGCGCGGCACTTCCTACAGAAAGGTCTTGCAAGGCTGATCTAGGAATGCCCATCGAAGATTTGCCAAAATCCAAAGCTTTCAGGGCCAACTCTAAATCTCCTGTTGTGTAGGGCACATGTCTCTCACACCACCGAGCCCTCCAAATTGAGCGACACTCATCAATTAGACTCTGGCATTTAGAGTTTAAACCATTGATAGAAGAAACGTCCAAAGATAGACGATCAGGGCGATCCACACCCCTCTGCTGTAGATACCGCGCAGCTTCGTTGCAGACATCGGGGCCTGCAATAAAACCTTGGTCTGTAAGAGACAAAACCACATCCGGAAGTCCATGACCCGAATCTTTCAGCATGCGTGAAAGAAACGTTCTGCTTCACCTTGATTACTGGCCACCAAGTTCAAATATTTTTCACACGCTTCAGCTGCACCAAAGGACCTAGCTTGCCGGGAGCTGGACCGAAACCATGCAACGTCCGAAGATGTCAAGTCTGACTGGCGTTGGAGGTTATGACTGCGCTGTCGCCGGTCTCCACGCGGTACAATTCTGACCAGACCTTCTCTGAAGGCCACCAACAGGTGACACGCCCGCCAAATCCCAAAACCGGCAGCCGCACCAATTTCTAATCTGCTCTCATGTTGGAAAGCCCACGAAGGTTGGTGATACGTCCAATCGTTGATCTCCCTGGCTACTAATGCAAAAAATTGTTCGACTGAGGATTGCACAGCATGAAGCCAAAGAGCAGAATCTCTGGAGAAGACACATGACCTATGCAACGATTTCCTTGCGCCGTTAACATCTCTCTTCGATTCGATGGCTGGCCAGCACCTACGATGTCCAAGAGTTTCAAGGTGCACTTTCCATCTCGCATCAGCACCAAGCACCAGTGATGCAACTGTGGGGATTCGACAAACAAAAACTGAGCAATAGAAAGGACGGGAAGAAAACACAGCGAGCGAGCAGGCAACAAACAGCATGGCTTGCAGAGAATCAAACGCTGCGCACACATGCACAAACTCAAAGCAAACGAGCACAATAGCTCGGCCTGGCTCATGAGCAAGACTTTCGAAACACCAAAAAACAACAAGCCTCGGTCCTACATGCAGGGGCGGCCAGTTTGTTACAGAGGGTTTGGCTTCACAAGTCGCCAAACCCGTCCGTAAACAAACTACAAATCCAAGACTCAGTCCAACGTCAAGGGGCGCAACATAGCTTAAAAAACCGCTATGTGTAACAGAGAGTTTGGCGTCAAGGGGCACAACATCATAGCTACCACAAAAAAAACACGCCATTTTGTTACTGAGAGTTTGGCTTCAAGGGCGCCAGACACGTCCGTAAACCTATAACACATCCAAGACTCAGTCCTGACGTGAAGGGACGCAATGTCATTGCTACCGCAACAAAAAATGCCTGTTGTAACGGAGAGTTTGGCATCAAAAAGGTGCCAGACACGTCCGCAAACAAAGTAACCCGCTCAAGCCAAGGCACTTGAAAATGCCACTTGCAAGGAAACAAGACAAACACCCGAAAACAACAACGCCCTGCTTTAAAAACTCCAAGGCACGCAACAGTAATTGGATAGCGGTCAAGGTCTTTGCTCTCAAGTATTTGATGCAACCGACCACACTGATCACGTACGCACCCATGCTCCCTGCAATGCGTGCCGTTATGCACTTGCACAAGCAAAGATGGGCTGGAACTGACAACCACATCCAAACGTCTTCCATCCACATGCGTAGCAACATCCAGAGAAATATATTGTTTGAGACAACGCTTCAGGCATTCGTTCTGAAACTCATTTTCGATTCTTCTCGAAGGGTTCAGATCACCCATCAAAATTATCATGCAGCAGCTGGGACCGAGCATACCCCGCACGAAATCATACTGCGCTCAAGGTTTTTAGGCTAGGGACGGATGCTTGTTTATGGCCACTTCAGGATCGGCTTATGGATTGGTTGTTGGGTCTGGTTTAAGGCTTAGGGCCGTTGACATTTCTGGGGGCGTTCGCAGACTGAGCATAGCAACTTGAACCACGTTCGGCCCCACAGCTGCATCCAACTACCCAGCACCCTGCAAATGTTGACGCTTGGCTTTCACTTCCACCATAGCTTGCAGACCTTGACGTTTGGACATGGATGCTGTTCAAAATTCCAGCGCCAAGCCTAAGGCCGCAGGGTTCCCTTGTGCCTCGTTGCGCCGTGCTAGTGTTTGGCCACGCCGGCAAACATGCCAACTACAAAACGTACCAACAAGCTCCCTGCCTTGCACACATCCCAGTGTCGAAGCTGTCCCGGGCCCTGGCGAAGCTATCCATTTTTTGTCTTCCTGCTTCCAGTGGCTGCCCACCTCCGAAGATCCTTTGCTAAGGCCCATGGCTTCACATCGGCCACGCGGACTTGCGCCAGCCTTGCACGTCCGTTGCGCCATCCTTGGGCGCAACCTAAACACTTGCTTGGGGGCGGAGGTGGGGGCGAAGTAGCCGAGAAGACAAATCCTGGGTTTCATTCGGGAGTTACACGAGGCAGGCAAGGCTTCTCCGCACAAAAGGCACAATGCATCGATTATCGCCCTACTTGGCCCTTGTGCTCGCCCTTGCGCCTCCTTGCGCCATGCTGGTTTCGGGCGCCATGGTTAAACGCAGGCAACATATGTATGCCGAAAGGCTGGGGTTTAGAACAACACCCACATGACCTCAACCAGAGTTTGGAGGGGATCCAGCTGCCCAGCACACTGCAGGCGTTGACCTTTTGCAACCAAAGCTTGAAGGGGATCCAGCTGCGTGACACCGCAGACGTTGACAATTGGCTACGAGTTCAACCAGAGCTTGGCGGGGATCAGCCCAACACCCTGCAGACGTTAATGCTTGCACATACCTTCAACCGGAGCCTGCCCAGCGCCCTGCAGACATCGACGTTTGGCTTTCAGAGCTTGCAGACCTTGACGTTTGGACATGACTTCAACCAGAGTTTGGAGGGGACCCAGCTGCCCAGTAGACCTTGACGTTCCAACTGCCCAGAATCCTGCAGACGTTGACGCTAGGCTTTCACTTTCACCAGGGCTTGGGCGGGATCCAGCCGCCCAGCACCCGGCAGATTTTGAGATTGGGACACGACTTCAAAAAGAGCCTGGAGGGCATCCAGTTTGTAACTGCACCCTGCCCACGTTGACGCTTGGCTACAGGTTCAACCAGAGCATAACTTCGTAGTGACAGCTTGTCACACAGAAGTGGATTCGTGCCCCCTACAAGGCCTTCGTGTCAAAGCACTTTCCGAACCCGCTTGGCAACAATCGCTGAACTAGTTTCGCCCACCCAATCGCCCTCCAAAGCAGTGGCCAGCTTTTTCGCACGTGGCCTGGTTGAGAGGAAGGCCACTAGAACTGGACTTTCGCGGTACAAGGAAATATTTATCACTAGCCGCAGTACGCAAAGCTGCACTGGTAGCGCGCACTATGGCGGTAAATGCTGCAGCTGTACCTCAGTGTGTACACTTATTGCGCTGGAGTTTCTTCAAGGGAATCTGCACTTGCGAAAACCTGAATGTGGAAACTTCAAGCTCAACCCAGAAGCACTCAAACCTAATAAACCCCAACGCAAACTCGAACCTCAGCCGCCTCCTCACTCTCAACCAATTCCTCTGCAACAAACCCAACACTGAAAACTGCAATACCTGGAGGTTTGGTCGAGGCAGTTCTCAAGCTGCGGGGTTGTAGGGTTCAGGGTTTTAGGTCTAGGGTTGAGGCGTATTGGGCTCAGAGCACGTCGATTTCATTCAGGTCTATCCCCAAAAAAAACCTACGCGCAGGTCAACCCAGCACCAAACCCCCTAGGCTCCCGGACTTTGGCAAGCTCATCAATCCAGGAGTCGTCATCTTGGCGGGGCAAGGGAGGGGGGAGGGAAGGGGGGTGAAGCCAACCGGCACCGGAAGAAGCTAGGCCCTAAACCCTAAACCTTAAAGTGCAGGCGCGAAGACCCCACCGGGCTGGGGGACTTGGGAGACGAGGAATTTCTCCTCGCCCTTAATGATAGACCGTGAAGGACAAACAGAAACGTAATGATCCTCCCCCCCCCCCCCCCCCCCCTTCCCCCCAAGAAAAAAAGACGAGCCACAAAAATGCCCCAAACCACACGGGCGGATTTGCAACACGGGCCACCTACATGGACGGCTGCTTACCCGGCTTGGCCATACCACTACGTGCGCGGATATTGGATGTTGGCGATGTTGGGGTGTTGCAATTCAGGGGGCTTCAATTCAGGGACGTGAACCCTGCCTCGGAACGCGGCGATTGCATCTCTGCAGCGTCAGCGTCGCTCGGGCCACTCAGCCGACGCGACCCTGTCGCATCCGTCGCTGCGCCATCTGAGAGGAACTCTGACCTTATAAAGCACGGGAGGGCAAGTGATGCAACATGGCAACGATCGGAAGATGAACTGATTGACAGCTTGGCCGACCAAGGTGGCATCGGGCAAGGTCTCGGCTAATGCGAAAATCTTCTTAAGGCTTCTTCCAAATCCTCCGCCGACTGTGGCCGTGTCCGATACCGGGCACCAGAGATGCATGCAACCAGGTTGCATGCTGAGCATCTCATGGCTGCACTGCGAAGCATTGCTGCAAGGCGTGGCATCACCGTCCACCTCCATGGACCGCTGCTTACCCGGCTAGCGGCTAGGCCATGCGACTCATACGACTACATGTGTGGATACGGGATCATGGATGTTACTGTTGGGGTGTTGCAATTAAATCGCGGACGCGAGCCCTGCCTGGGAACGCGGCGACGGCATTTCCGCAGCGTCGCTGCCGCTCAGGCCACTCAGCCGACGCGACCCGGTCGTGTCCGCCGTGCTCGCGCTCTGGTTGCTGAGCCGACCTCGCCGCTCGAGCCGCTCAGAAGACCTCAAGGCGAAGCTGGAGAAGCGATGCTCTGAGCTGCATGAGACTTGTCGCACCGCGCTTCCGGGAAGCCCGAGCCATCCCGCCCGTTGAACTTAACACCAGTCGGAGAAGAGAGCGAGAGCACCATACAGTACCCAAAGTGAGCACTTAGCGCTTTCGGCCCGAGCTGCTTCTCGCACGCGTATTTTGACCTGAAAAAGCACGGGACGCCGAGTGATGCAACATGGCAGCGGACAGAACACTGAGTGATGTTGGGCAGGCCTCCTTGGCGACATCCGCTCGGCCAGAGACATTGAGGAGATGGACCTCACACGTCCGTCACGGTGGATTAAACAGCTCCACTTTACCAGAGGGGCATCACCAAATCACCAGGCCGTCTCAAACATGTTGGGCACCTGGACCTGTCTTCGGCCATCTGGACTGGCAACAGCCTGCCGCACGAAACACATATCGGTGCTAGTCAAAGAGCATGCAGGAAGAATCAGCACCGGAAGAAGCGCAGAAGTAACTCTGAAGAATGCGGCCAAGGCGCTGGACACGGTTGTCCAAACCCACCACGCCCACCATGGCCAAGTGCGAAAGACTGCACAAAGACACTCCGGTCAAACACATGCGCCCAACTGGTCGGGGTGCTTTGTTGCAACGATCAGATACGCTCAGCATCCCTTCACGTTGGCTGCGCCCAACACACATGTACAGTCATGAGTCATGAGCTTCTTCTACAGCATCTTAGAAAAGTCGATGGTTCGAGGACTCGAAACCCCGCAGAAAAGATGCAAGCGATGCAACAACGACGCGGCAGACTACTGCAATCACGACTCATGCCCTGCACAGATCCACAGCATTTTTGTGGCTTTGCTTCTCACAGCACGAGCACGCCTCCGCCAGAGGAGCAGCAAATCTCCAAGCAGGCTCTTGCAGACGGACGCTGGAGCGGCTTACATGCCCTGCAGAGCTTCCACCAACAGGGAAGCCCACTTCTGTCTTTGGCTCTCCACAGCATCCTGCTGGGCTGGGCTGCTTCCCGCGGCAAGTCTTTCAATACTTCTCCCAACAGATCCAGCATGCATTCTGAAATACGGTTCTGCACCGCCGGAAAGCTACCACGATCGTAGTTGAGGAGTACGTGGTGGGCCGCAAGCCACACAGATTCTTCCGCAGCACGGGTGCCGTCTAACAGATGCTCGAGGTTCTTGCAGACGATACTCATCACACGGCTTTCAGCAAAGGGAGCTCCTTCAGCGAGTGCCAGCATGCTGCACGAACATCGACCGCAGATGGAAGAAGATGATTGTAGCTCAAAAGAAAGATGTATGAACGAATGGAGATCCTGAAGTGTACGGCACTATGCAAGCCAAGAGGCAATCAAACAGCTTCTCCTGAGCAACATCCGAGAAGATGTTCCCGGAGCTGAAGTCTCTGCACACGAACCGTTCCAACAAAGCTGAAACTCCACGATGGACGAAGGCCTGCGCAGTGACTGTGCTGTCTTTCGGGCAAGAGCAACTTTACCCCAATCCGGCTCGACATGTTTCTTCTGTTCCCCCGTTGTGCCAAAAACAACATTTACCCCAACCCGGCTTGACATGTGTCTTGGGGCTCCTTAGCCAAAAGTCTTGTCTTCCTTCGGGCAAGAGCAACTTTACCCCAATCTTCCGGCTCGACATGTTTCTCTCCCAAATTCTGTTCCCCGGTTGCGCCAAAAACACTTTTTACTCCAATCCGGTTTGACATGTGTCTTGGGGCTCCTTTGCTAAAAGTCTTTGCCTCCTTCGGGCAAGAGCAACTTTACCCCAATCCGGCTCGATATGTTTCTTACCCAAGTTCTGTTCCCCCGCTGTGCCAACAACAACTTTACCCCAATCCGGTTTGACATGCGTCTTGGGCTCCTTAGCCAAAAGTCTTTTCCTCCTTCAAACAAGAGCAACTTTACCCCAATCCGGTTCGACGCGTTTCTAACCCAAGTTCTGTTCCCCCGTTGTGCCAACAACAATTTTTACCCCAATCCGGTTTGACATGTGTCTTGTTTGACATGTGTCTTGGGGCTACTTAGACAAAAGTCTTTTCCTCCTTCGGGCAAGGGCAACTTTACCCCAATCCGGCTCGACACGTTTCTAACCCAAGTTCTGTTCCCCCGCTGTGCCAACAACAACTTTACCCCAATCCGGTCTGACATGTGTCTTGGGGCTCCTTAGCCAAAAGTCTTTTCCTCCTTCGGGGCGAGCAACTTTACCCAATCTGGTTCGACACGTTTCTAACCCAAGTTCTGTTCCCCCGCTGTGCCAACAACAACTTTTACCCCAATCCGGTTTGACATGTGTCTTGTATGACATGTGTCTTGGGGCTCCTTAGACAAAAGTCTTTTCCTCCTTCGGGCAAAGGCAGCTTTTCCCCAATCCGGTTCGTAACCCAAGTCGTGTTCCCCTGTTGTGCCAAAAACAATTTTTACCCCAATCCGGTTTGACATGTGTCTTGGGGCTCCCCAGCCAAATGTCTTGTCCTCCTTCGGGCAAGAGCAACTTTACCCCACTCCGGCTCGACATGTTTCTTCTGTTCCCGCGTTGTGCCAAAAACAACTTTTACCCCAACCCGGCTTGACATGTGTCTTGGGGCTCCTTAGCCAAAAGTCTTGTCTTCCTTCGGGCAAGATCAACTTTACCCCAATCTTCCGGGTCGACATGTTTCTAAGCCAAATTCTGTTCCCCCGTTGTGCCAACAACAATTTTTGCCCCAATCCGGTTTGACATGTGTCTTGGCGCTCCCTAGCCAAATTTCTTGTACTCCTTCGGGCAAGATCAACTGTACCCCGGCTCGACATGCTTCTAACCCAAATTCTGTTCCCCGTCATCTGGTTCGACATGTGTCCAAACTTGACCCCAGTCCGCTTTGAGATGCGTTCTGGGGCTTGCCAACCACAGGTCTTTTGCCCCTTCGGCCAAAGGCAACCTTTCCCCGGTCCAACTCGACATAGGCCAGCAAAAACCTTACCCCAATCCGGCTTTACATGTGTCTCGGGGCTCCCAGACAAAACGTTTCCCCCCCTGTCGGCCACAAAAGCCGCTTTACGACGACCTGTTTTGACATGGGTCTAACACTAATTCCGTTCCGCTTTTGGTCAAAAGCAACTTTGCCCCAATCCGGTTTGACATGTGTTTTGGGAAAAAGGCAAGTGGTACACAAAGATCAAAGCAGCGAAAAGAACATAATGTGCCTACTCGGGTAGTCCTGCCACAATTGCTCCGGTGACAACTCCGATGTGTACATAGTCTACACAGTATCTAGTATGTAGTATATGTTTTGAGGTGGGGAGTGGGTTTTAGGGTTGAAAGTTTATGGCACAACGACTACAGCGACAACTTGCATGGTGGCCATCAGCTTAACAACTGCTACTGCCAGCGCCGGCGCAACCTAAGTCCATGACAGAGGACTAGAGCATACCTACCAGGTCACATAAGCTGACTGACTGATTGGGTCCCCTCGGCGGGGGTTGCAGACAGAGCGACCGACTGACTAACTGGGTCGAACAACAGAAAAAGCCCGAAAAACATACCCCAAAGAAACCATAAAAAACACCCAACAAAGAACCCCACCCATGCTTTAGGGCAAGTGCTTAGTTCAGGGTTGTACTAAGGTATAAACAACTTTACGTTGTCAGAGAGATGTCCGTGGCAAAGCTTGAAATTGAGGCATCTCCAGCATCCACGTACAATGCGAGAAGTTTACAAAACAGGTTAAACATCAGACGCCTGAGGCCAGCCGCTACGTAAATATTGGACCAACCGACTTCAAACAAGTCTTGCATTTGTCGCAGTCTTTTGTGGCTCGCCTGCGCCAGTGAAAGTCCTTGACCCTGCTGCAATGACGAAGCTTGCGCGCAAAAGGGTGGCAAGGAAGAAGGGAGCTCAAGAGGTCCGTGCGCGCCACTTAAACGCAGCTTTTGATAGTTCTCAAGCGTGTGGTTCCCCGGACTTGTTGAAGAGCTTGCAGGACTTCGGGGACCGTTTGCGGGAGAAGTTTCACTCCCGATGTTTGCGACGATTGTCCCTGCACTTCTCTGGGAATGCAACTCGGACATGAGCTCAAACAAAAGGCCGAGGGCTCATTCAAACGTCGAACTTTGCGCCTCCTTCGACGCCTTGGTTAAACAGTTCGCGCATGCATTCGCAAGGAAGCATGGGGCCTTCTCCAACAGGCAGCAGCTTTGACCAACCCCTGTCCCCTACGTGCGAACCCATGGTCTTCCGTTCACCTCATGCTGGCTCGGTTTTGGGATCGCGCCAGCCAGCTCGGAGACGCAGTGGTCCGCTGCTTTTCACAATCCGAACATTTCAACCTTCCGACACCTCCAAGATTCGCAGGTAGGCGCAGGTCTCTGACTTTTTACACTGACAAACGAATTTTGAGAACATCCTGTCGAAAGCGCTCGGACACACACATCCGCACACATTCACCGCAAAGACGGTCAAAGTTAAGCGCGACTGCCGCTTAGAGCAAATGAGCAAATAAGAAGGGCCAACCACCCCCGGAAGGACGCACGGCCGAATTACCGCAACAGGTGACTCGCGACAGCTCAAAGCAGACTTTTCTGTGGCAGTGGCCGGACGAAAGACGCACGCGCCGCAAAGAGGTAAAAAAAAAAATCGAAAGCTTCCCACATGTAGCAAAAGATTGGCAAAGGGTCGAAGCAAGGTTGCAAATCACACGAGGTGTTGATCGGGATCTGTGTTTCTGCGGCATGTGATTGTTCGGACTTTGCAGCCATGGTTGGTAAGTGGGGATCGTTGTCTTTCTCAGCGCAGAAGAGGGGCTGTCACAGCAGGTTCCGCGCACGCAAATCCGATCTCACATAGTACTGCAGAAGGCCTCTTCGTGCTAGAAGCAGTGCTGCATTGCCATCGTCAACAGTGTCCACACCGAGCCTGGCAAAAGAAGGTCCATTGACAATCAAAGCCACGTGCTACGTTCTTCTCTCTGACACCTTGTTTTTCGCGCAAGGCAAGTGAGAAGCACTTACCTACCCAACCTTCGGCTTAGTAAACAGTAGTCATCCACAGTCATCCAACATGCTTCTACAGCAGGCTATGTGCTGTAGTTGTGGACGCTGCCCCTACCAGTGGCCCAGCAAACACACCAGCGTGCCTCTTGGAGGGTTAGTTGAATCTACAACGCGTATAGGCTTTGACGCTGAGCTTCAAGCCCGTGTCCCTTGCACCGGCCATTGAAGTAAACGCGCAAAGCTCCCTGCCCGAGGACTGGTGGCCTGCCGGGGTGTCAGGCGGCGCGCCAAGATGTCATCCACCTTGAGGCACATGCAGACACTCCTTTTTGAAGTGAAACTCCCCTTAGAAGGGCTTTCAGATCATGCACACCGCTAATGTCGCAGGCAGGCTAGGCACGGTAAGGTACTGTAACAGTTTGATTGAGACTAAGCTGCAAGCTTCAGGCGCAGGAATCAGGTACTGCAACAAATTGGGCCTCGAATGGCGTGCCTGCCAGCTTTGTGCAGTTCATTGTTTGTTCCCGTGCGATTTATGGAAGCCAAGATAGGCCAAGTTACACCGAGAATGACGGGTCTGACAGGTCCAGAAATAAATTCCTCATCCAGGGCCCCACAAGACGTCGTCCGAGACTCGTCGTTTGCAGACCTGAGCTGCAGCTCTTCCCCTAACGAAACTGCATGCAAAAGCCCTGAGAGCCGTGCTTCTCGCTCTCTGCATCAAAGCTCTGCACACCCAAAGGAAGCACTTTCTGTGGAAGATCAGCCTGCCACCAACTCATGCTTCACGGGGCTTCTGGTACCCGGCACTGCCGAACCAGTCCTCACCCACCGTGTCCAAGCAAAAAGGTGCGGCAGACGCCGGGCACCACCTGAGTTGCCGCCAACACAGACGGCAGCCGAACACCGGGTGCCACTTTTTTGCAAGCCTACTCTGCTTGCAGCTGGCTGGCTTCTCTTTCAACCTCGGACTCGTCTCGGCCAACAGAAGCTTGCTCTGCAGTGCGGCGTTGAGGGTTACCGCCTATTTGAGGTGCTGCTTCGTGTCTTGGCACCTCGGTTCCCGGAAGGTTGTAACCACAGTCAGCAAACAAACTTGAACATGCGGAAGCCGCAGTCAGAAAACAACGACGCGGAGTGGTAAACACGTGGGCCGTTGTCGGAAACAGGACGGCAACATTCGGAAGACACAATGCCGCAAGCGGGAAACGAGGAACAACATATGCTGCGAGAAGTCGAAATTATATAAGTTATAAAAACAGTCGGAAACGCAAAGCAGCCATCGAAAAATAAAAACAACGGGAAAACGCACGATCGTCCTAATACATTGACAAGACAAAGACTGACATACGCTGCCCGCCTCCGGTGCCCCAGTTAGAAGTTGAAAAATTTAATTTAAAAAAATCAGAAAACGCAAAACCTCCATCGGAAACAAGCAACCCCAACGGGAAATTGCACGGTCGTCGTAATACATTGACGCGACAATCCCTTACGCCTTACTTCCCGAAGTCTGCCACCGGCTCCCAAGTTAGTAAAGTCACAATCAAAAAACCACATGTCGGAAAACACGAAGCCGCAGTCAGCAAGCGACAAGCCACAACAGAAAACACCAGATCAAGCAAGCTTTCCTTTGTGCATTCCTTCTACGATGCCTGCTCCGGGCTCCCGAATTGAAAATGCAAGCTTACACCAGCGAAGACCCCAAACAGTTAAGCCTGGAATGGTGTGTTCACAACCTACAGCGTATATTTGCTTTACCCGCAAGAAAGAAGCCCTAGACTTCCAAAGTATCAAATACACGCGAATAACAAAGACCGCTCCTGACAGATAGGTTGGAAATCAAGCAATCACAGTCGTATGCGTGGCAGCAACCTCGTGAGATCATTAGAGTTGGTGTTTTAGCTAGGATGACTTGGGAACCATCAAGCATTGGTGGTGAAGCAATCATGACAAGTTCTCGGTCTTGGTCGGCATATCACAGACCTGTACGTGTAAGCAACTTCGTGAAATCAAGAGGGTTGTCGTTCTGGCCATGACGGTTTAAGCGCTATCAATGAGCTTTGGTGGGTTTGACGCGTTGCGTCGCACATCTTGTGTCACCCGAAAAAACGGGTCCATGCGTGATGTTCTGACTGCTGTGTTCTTGTAATGTTGTATGTGGCTGATAGACGCGGCTCGTGTGTTGGTTTTTACCACATGCTCAACTTTTTATGAGCTGTTATGGAGCTTGTGATGCTTGCGGAGGCATGTCACCAGAGAAAGCTGTTTGCATCGGTCTAAACTCACGGTATGCCATGTGTTAGTCCATGAGCATTCCAATAGCACCAGAAGACTTTTTACAGGGGGTCCTTGAGGTCCCGGAAAACACCAAGCCCCACCCCCCCCCCCAAAAAAAAAAAAAAGAGCGGCGGATTTAAGTTTACGGGATAACTGGTTGATTTCGACTTAAGGCTCAAGGCTTGCAAACGCGCAAGGCGCATGGGGGAACATTTCACGGCACGCGTGGGTGACATACCACTACGCCTGCCCTGTTTCTGTCGCCGACGTTGCTAACGAGCTGCGCGTTCCAGAAACTGACGATAGCGCACTACTTTAAGTTAACATGTTGGCGAGCACCTCTTGTTCAAGGGCCTGATTTCGCGGTGGCTTGCACTTGAGATTAGCGAAGAGAACTCACCTGTATGATAGAGCAAAGACGCAGCTTGGCGAGGGCAATCAGTCACCGAACGGGTCAGTGCTTGCTGGCCACGTGCAACTCCCAGGCAGAATATTTCTTCCCCGATGTGGCCGACAAGTTGCGCGTTCCGGAAACCCCGGAGTTGGTTTTGACGCTTCCACCAGCGCAGCACCCAAGACAGCATGTCTTGTTCAAGCGACAGACTTCACGGCTTGCGCTTGAAATGAGCGAGGAGCAGGTTGCCTGGGCGATCGGGCCCAAGACTCTGAAACCTTCGACAGACTGCTGCTTGCTACTTCTGAAGTCTGCGACAAACGGCGCACGCGGCAGCTTGGCTCTGTAAGGTTTGGGTTCATTTTAGAAGGTCGTCTTGAATTTGCGCAGAAACACCCCGCAAAAAAAGACCACACCAAGCCAAGCCAAACCATGCCACGAAAACACGAAAACAACCCCGCATCTACACCTGGCAACACGAGAGAGGCGGTCGGCTTGATGATGGAGCTGAGACACAAACCAAGACTCTGAGTCCTTCGACCAATAACTACTGCGGAGAACACTACGCACTACAAGCCATCCATGACTACATGACGCACTGGCCAGCTTACCGACTTAGGCCTGTTTCGGCTTGAAAGGCACCTTGGACTTGCGCGAGCAAGATTGCGTCCCCCGCAGGCCAGGTCAGCCAAACCAAAGCATTCCACGAAAACAACCAGTAGAAAGCAATCGCCGCGCTGCAAGCTACATGACCCCAACCCAACCTCTTGCTCAAAACGCACGGCCTCACAACCTGCGAGCCATTCCAAGAGCGTCTACTTGCAAGCAGCTGCCTGGGCCAGCAACTACGCTCAAAAGCGCAGGCCCGAAACACACTTGGCTTCGTCACTTGCACTGCATCTGTAACCTGCCCAAGCAAGCAGAAGAAACCACCTCTTATCGAGGCGCCAGCTTTGCGCGCTTCGTCACGACTGTTCACGGCTTGCGCTCGACATAAGTGAGGAACGGTCGCCTTGACATTTGACTCATTTGACCAGACCAAGACTCTGGCTCGCTCCAAGCAAGGACTATATATACTTCTGAACACACAAATCACGCTGGGCGCCGTCAGCACCGCACACACTGGCCACGGCCAACCTCGCACAGCTCGAACAGGCGAGGACTCATCCAAGACGGCAGAGCTGAAACTCGGCGTTGCAAGATACGCCGCCGCAGTCATGAGCTTAGCGTTCCAACCACACTTGTAAGGCCACACGCAACTCGCCGGCTTACATCCCGAGCGTGACAAAGCACTGTGCCTCCCACGCTTTCATTCCCGACGTTGCTGACAAGTTGCGCGTTCCAGAAACTGATGATTACTATAGTTAGCAGGCTGGCGTTGACACAAACCCGGACCGGGCCCGCTTCTAGCGCCAGATCTCACAGCACCTTGCACTTGAAAATTCTAGCGACGAGAGGTCGCCTGCGTGACAGAGCTGGACTTGCACTTGAAAATGACGAGGAGAGCTTCGCCTGTGTAATCGAGCCACGACGCAACGCGCTGACAGCAATCACCGCACCGCGGCAAGCCGCGACCCCTAAACTCTTTCACAACACACGGCCTCACAACACACGGGGCCACTGCCATGGGCTTAGAAACAATTCCAAGATCCGGCACCTACACCTCACGAGGTATAGGGATCAGGGCTGCGGGCCATGCGCAGCTCGCCGATGAAAACTTTGCGTCAAGCCTGACTGCGACTAAGATGACAAAAGCACTGCGCCTGCCCGCGTTCTTCCCCGACATGACTGACAAGTTACGCGTTCCAGAAGCGCCTGACATCCGGGGCAGCCGCTCAAGCGCAGATGCTACGGCTAGCACTTGAAATGAGCGAGGACAAGTCGCCTGAATGATCGAGCTGTGAGACGCGCACCAAGACTCTGAAACCTTCGACAGACTACTACAGTAGACGCTGCAAGCCGTCTGCGACAAACGACACGCGCGCCGGCTTGGCTATTTGTCCTCTTGAACTTGCGAAGGAACAAACCTATAACGACCCACGAAAACCCCACTTGTAGGAAGCTGCTGGGGCAACCCCGCATGGCCCGCATCTACACGTGAACTCGCAAACAATATGTCTGATTGATCAAAGCTTGCGGGAATTCGCGTTTCTTCGACAAGTGGCGCGTTCCAGAAATCCGCGACTCCACGACATCACCTGCAAAACCCGCCACGTACAATGATGGGAGCGGCTTGTGTGTGCTCAAGCGAGCACCTCTTTCTCAAGCGACACAGTTCACGGCTTGTGCGTCAAATAAGAGAGAGGCGGTCTGATAAAGCTGCGACACAGACCAAGACTCTGAGTCCTTCGACCAATAACTGACACGTGATGAACTGGCCAGCTTGGCGACTTAGGCCTGCTTCGGTTTGGGGAAAGGCGCCCTGGGCTTGCGCAACCGCGACTGCGTTCCAGGCCAGGCCAAGCCAAAACCAAAGCATTCCACGAAAGCAACCTGGAAGAAAGTCATCGCAGCGCTGCGATAAGCTACGAGGCTGCGCGGCTTCTTGCCCACAACGCACGGCCCCACGACGCGGTTGTGAACAGAGGCATTCCAAGACTACTACGAAGCTGTCGGCGCAATCCGGCACCTACACTTTAACCTTCCCAAGCAAGCGCCTCTTCGCCAGTTTTGTACTTTTGCTCGCGATTGTTCACGGCTTGCGCTCGACATAAGCGAGGAGGAAAGGTCGACTTGACACTTGACGCTAGAGCTAAGATGCAGGCCAAGACTCTCAAAACTCTGCACAAAGCTCGGCGTGTATTGCGTTGCAATGGTCAAGGACTGGCTCCAGACGACAGAGCTGCGACGCAGACCAAGCAGCAAGCCAATCGTCTGTCTTGCCAAGCCGACTCCCGCGCCTTCTGCGCCCACCCCTCACTGACAGCCCAAGTGGACGCCGCGAAGACACTGTCCAGGTAGCACGGATTTCGGTCAAGGCGCACGAACACCTGCAAACGCGCAACTGTTGCCCAATAGACTGGGTTTTAGACATCTAGATTTCCTAGGTATCTATCGGCGACTATCGGTTTTTAAAAAATCAACAGTGGAACAAGAAGTTGATTTGGAAATCGCCAAAACAAGTTGTCGATTTCGGACGATTCTGTCGAAACCAAATTGACACTAGTTTCACGTGACCAACAATCTTCTTGCAAGGGCCTGGAGCTCATTTCGAAGCTTTGCGACCAACAGTCTTGCAAGGCCTTGGAGCTACTTTCAAGGCTTTGTGACCAACAGTCTTGCAAGGCCTTGGAGCTAGTCAAGCTAGTTTCGAGGCCTTGGAGCGAGCTTTGTGACCAACAACCTTACAAGGCCTTGGGGCTAGCATGGAAAATACCAATCTTGCATGGCCATGGAGCTACGCTTTGTGAGCATCAATCTTGCAAGGCTATGGGGCAAGTTCGAAGCACCAACAATCTTGCAAGGCCTTGGAGCTAGCATTGAAGCTTTGTGAAGAACAATCTTGCAAGGCCTTGGTGCTAGTTTCGAAGCTTTGTGGCCAACAATCTTGCAAGGCCTTGGAGCTAGTTTCGAAGTTGCGCGACCACTCATCTTGCAAGGTCTTGGGGCTAGTTTCGAAGCTTTGTGGCCAGCAATCTTGCAAGCAGGCCTTGGAGCTTGTTAAGCTAGTTTCGAAGCTTTGTGACCAACAATCTTGCAAGGCCTTGGAGCTAGTTACGAAGCTTTGTGACCAACAATCTTGCAAGGCCTTGGAGCTAGATTCGATGCTTTGTGACCAACAATCTTGCAAGGCCTTGGAGCTCGTTTCGAAGCTTTGTGACCAACAATCTTGCATGGCCTTGGAGCTACATTCGAAGCTTTTGTGACCAACAATCTTGCAAGGCCTTGGAGCTATTGTTTGCGACCAACAGTCTCGAAGCTTTGTGGCCAACAATCTTGCAAGGCCTTGGAGCTGGCATCGAAGCTTTGTGACCAACAATCTTGCAAGGCCTTGGAGCTACATTCGAAGCTTTGTGACCAACAATCTTGCAAGGCCTTGGAGCTAGTTTCGAAGCTTTGTGGCCAACAATCTTGCAAGGCCTTGGAGCTAGCATCGAAGCTTGCAAGGCCTTGGAGCTAAGCTTTGTGGCCAACAATCTTGAAAGACCTTGGAGCTGGTTTCGAAGCTTTGCGATCCTGGAGCTAGTTTCGAAGCTTTGTGAACAACAATCTTGCATGGCCTTGGAGCTAGTTTCGAAGCTTTGCGCCAACAGTCTTGCAGGGCTCTGGAGCTAGTTTCGAAGCTTTGCGACCAACAATCTTGCAAGGCCTTGGAGCTAGATTGCAAACAACAATCTTGCCAGGCCTTGGAGCTACTTTCGAAGCTTTGCAACCAACAGTCTTGCAAGGCCTTGGAGCTAGTTTCGAAGCTTTGTGACCAACAATCTTGCAAGGCCTTAGACCTAGTTTCGAAGCTTACCAACAATCTTCCAACGCCTTGCAGCTAGTTCCGAAGCTTTGTGACCAACAATCTTGCAAGGCCCTGGAGCTAGCTTCGAAGATTTGTGACCAACAATCTTGCAAGGCCTTGGAGCTAGATTCGAAGCTTTGTGACCAACAATCTTGCAAGGCCTTGGAGCTCGTTTCGAAGCTTTGTGACCAACAATCTTGCAAGGCCTTGGCTGACCTCGAGAAGCATCTATCAAGGAAGCCCTAACCTAAACATAAACCCTGACCGTCTGGCTCCGAACTCCAGACCTTCTACGTCCTTTTTGTCTCAAACCCTTCTAATCTCCGGCCCCCGTCCACCACCCCCCCCCCCCCCCCCCCCCCCCCCCCCCCCCCCCCCCCCCCCGGCCCGAGCTGAGCTCCATGGCTAGATCTGACCCCTTAAACTACGAAAGCCATGGGTGGTGAAGTTGCTTTCGACACGATGTCCGCTTCGGGTAGCTAGCCTTCTCGACGGTCCTGTTTGACGCGGGCAGCTGGTGCACGGTACACAAGGCCTTGAAATTTCAAGGTTGTGGACGTTCAGTTTTCGTGGTGATTTTAATGCGTGGTTTATTGGGGAGGGAGGTTGGCTCGCAGGATTTTGCCGACTTGGGGCTGACTTAAAGGTTTAGGGATAGGCACGAGGGTGTCGAACTTCTAGGGCGTTTGGTCCTGAGGGCTTGGGGCTTTTTAAGGTCTTTAGGGTTCAGGGTTCGAACCCTACACCCTAAACCAAAGCTGCGAGGCAAAACGAGGGCTTCCTGGCGGCGGGCTTGCCCAGGCAGACTTAGGTGAAAGACCATTGCTGCATATATGGGTCCCACTCGCTTCTTATAACACTAGATGCGTGGGCCTTTCATGAATAGCCACGTAATATAA